TGCAAATTTGTTTCATGTCTCATGACGACACCACTATAGCCATCAGCGCTCGCACGCACCGCGCGTCTCGCACATCCACCCGTATTACGGCGGGGGTAACCAGAAACTCTATCATGACGCCGGTATCAGGAACTCATCTGGATCAGGGGCGCCTACAGGCAGGAAAGGTAAAACCGAGGGTACAGCCAACGGACGCAGCAACGAACCTCCAACATTCGTATTACCCGACTCGGACGCATGATTGTTCGCTACGTGGGACTAGTCCCACACTCGTTGTGCCTTCGGCAAATTTCGAGGCAAAAGGCCGCAAGAGGCGTTGGTAGTACGCAGTGGGAGAGGCGTACCTGCGTCTGGGGTGATGCTTTCCATGTGGAATCGTAAAGGGTAGGATAGAGATGGTGTAGAGTCTCGTATGTATGTATACAAGCCGATACTATTATAGTATCTTGCAAAATGTTTAACAAACCGAGTTCTATCGTCTACGTGATGTCCAATTTTACAGAAAGGAACGATGGTAATGCGTAAACTCCTTATGCCAGTGAGGGAGTGAGAGCGTTTTCTTGTTTATATAGCGAACTCCATGCATGTGCAACTTCGGGAGTTCGAACAATTCAGGCCCTGAGTGCGTCTGATCTGGCATCTGTCTTCCGAGTCATCGTTCGAACGTTCAAGCTGTAGTACGAGCTTGTGGCTGTGGCGCGCTGCGCGGTCTCACGCCTTCTGCAAAGCGCCCATTTATTCTTGAACTAGTACTCGCTATCGATATCATATCACAGCGCACGTTGCATATGAAATCGGTAGCGGTGCGCGTGCACCAAGTCCCAGACTCCAGCTTCTGATCATTTTCCAATTGCAACCTGTTCACTGCGCACTTCAAGCTCCTCTATACGTTTGCGCCGTGAGCTATTTACCTAAAATCTTCCTCTGCCCTCCCTCCCTCAGTCCAATTCATTATTCCTGTACCAGCACTGGCCCCCTGTGCCGGTCGTTCACACTGTACATTGGCGCTTTTCCTTGCATGATCCGTGGGGGCGGTGCCATCACTCATGTGGCTGTGATTTTTGCTCTGCGTGCGTTCATTCTTTCGCCCATCTTGTGGCTCAGGGTCAGGATCATGATGCATACGGAAATGAGATACGAGACTCGCAGTGATCGAAATGCCAAGCCTCCTGGATGGCCAAGGTAAGGGAAGAACGTTCTAGAATGTTGGCGATAACAGCGCCCCCTTCCAAGCTAACAGGATATATGCGACGGTGATATGTCAGCTCCGTGATGAGATTGGCGATGCTCGACAGACGCACATGACATTATTGTCCGCAATCTAGCACGCACTTCATCACGCAGGCTATTCAAGGAAGAAAGTCAGCGTCTCATCATCAACAATTCTAATGTGATATTTGATTGATATGCGATAGATCACTCGAGAGGCGGAAGAACGAAGCGTTCGCGTGATAAACGTAAGTTATGTAACGTGGGGGTTGCGTGAGGGTAAAAATCTGCCGTCTATCATTATACTATTTGGATTGCCAACGGTGGGCACATCCATAACCTCGTCTGACTAGGGCGGCGACCCGTCAAACTCTTTGACGCGTCTGCTGAGTGCTCTATAATCAGGAAGGAACGATTAGTTGTTTTTTATTTTTAAAAAATCCTATTTAATGTCTGCTTGGGGCAAAGCCCGATGTAGACAGTACGTGCTATATACTATACCGTTCTATTGACATTGCTGGCATTGGACGATTGGTTGTCTTCCACGTTCCTTCTATCCGGTCTGCAGGGAAACCATGTTTCTTTGCCATCAGCCGCTCGTGAGTTTCAGTTTCAGACAGACCAATGCCAACTGCTACGATGATCATGATATCTATATCGCTTCATGAATTCAGGGGATATTTCGAAGACCCAATTTGATCACGAGCAACGGACCGGTGGTGTACCTGGTGTTTCACGTTACATTATGTAATCAAAACAGCAACAAATATATCATCCCTTTATGCTCGTTTTGGCTTAGTCTCCCTTAGACTGCCCTTTAAGCTTTATAGACGAAGGAAGATAGCCGTTCCTTCTAGTTTGGGCCGTACAATCGCTAGATGGTTGTATATCTGCCGGCGCAAACGCCATAGTCAAACATCCACCAAGTTTGCAAGCTCGCTCATATCCATTCTCGAAATACTATGACCCTAGTCTCATATAATCCCAGTTGGTGGCCGTCCATTTATTCGTATTGCATTTCCTGTTATTTTGTAGGTTCGTGGATGACCAGTTGGACGTTCCTGACCTAAGCCGTACTATGGTTTCGTAGCTGCCGGCTCCGCGGGGGTGATGTATGATTGGGGTAAGCAAGCTAGTAACAAAAAACGCTCATGCTCATATAGTATTTTTAGTCCTGACGTTCTGACAAGGGGTACGTTCACGTCATGACCAGAGCAAGAATCTCCCTAACTTAATGCGTGAGCAGATTCCCGCACTAGAAGAACAGCTTGAAAATGAAATTGATTCGGGCCAGAGGCAACATTGGTCCCTTATGACCGCTGCTGACGCGGAAAATATCCTAGGTGCGCTATCTTGGAATATCATATGCAGCGTATGTCTGAAAGGCTAAGCAATTGGCGCTGCGCTAACCAGTTTGCCTCATGTCTCACATTCAGCATCAATACGCTGAGTACGTATGTTTCCTTGTACACACTGTGTTTATTTCTTCTGACTGGTGGCATGCAGTTTGGGTTCCAACGATCTTAATGATAGATGCAGTGAGTATTCCACCCCAATGTTTATGGCCGTCTAATGAAAGCACTCCCATGTAGGGGTGAGCGGGATTTTCGACCGTCTTGTCAGTCCAATTTTAATAACTGCCGCAGCTGGCTTTGAGTATGCGAGCCTGAGGTTGATCGCTAACATTACTGGAGTTGTCAGGACGCCAGTCGGTGTTTAGATCGTGATAAGAGAGGGAGGCCTGCGCTGGACCGCTTCGTCATGAGCCTGTTGGCGTCTATGGGACTAAGTCTGAAATTGACCAGTGTCTGTCATCTCCAGGCGCAGCAGGTGCGTACATGTGATCGGTGTTGGTATGCAGCTTGGCACCTTGATAAACGCTCTCATCCAGTGCAAAATAATTCATCATGAACCAAAGTGACTCCAGGGCTTCAACGCCAAGTCTTCGCTCTGGACTTTACGTTTTCTGCAGATCGCAACGCTACACCAGCCAATAATTTTTCTTAATCTACTGGCTGGAGGATTCGGCATGGGTGACTTGGCCGGCTCCTGCGTCTATGACCAAGGTGGCATTGTCATCAGTGGTAAGGAAGATATGCAGGTTGTCAACTCGTTGGACTATGCTATTGCGCAGATGCGTGATTTTGCTTAATCTTGGACGCGCCGCTCATAATAGAAACAGTTCCGGTTCCTCAAGAAATTGCTTCTTTCCTATGATCGCCGGTCTTATGCTTGTAACGGAATTATGTTACATCTGCATTTCACGCTCGCTCTGATCCTTGCTTAATACAGGATTGTCAACTTTTTCTATAAGAACATTGCGCGGCGTATTGGTGTTTTGCGGCGGTTCCAGACCTATTGTGAATAAATGTCGGTCTGTTCAATGACCTAAGTACCGCCTGGGTATTCTTTGCCATCTTTGTCGGTATCATTATTTTATTGTTGTTCGCGGTAGGTTTCTAGCGTTCTCCTTATCATGTGCGAGACTGATATCTCTGCAGGTTATCTACGACGTAATCAGCCTGGGATGGATAGTAATCAATGTCTACGGCAACGATCACTACCTACTCGCTTTTATCTCTGGTTTCTATGGCGCTTGGCAACTGGGTTACGCACCTGGTGACGTAGAGATGTAGCACTACATCCTGAAGACGCAGCCTGATCTTGACTTGGTGACGCTGCGAAATGAATCGACGCGCTCCAGACCGTATGCGGCTTCAAGCCTGCGTCCGTCCTCATGCATTTCACAAGCGTCGATGGCTTGGTCCAGATTGGATTTACCGAGAACGCAAGATTCGCGTTGCGTGAGCCGAACGGACGTGCCTATCGTCGCGGATTTGACTTTGCGACGGAGGAAGGTGACGTTGCAATGCGATGCATGCAGACCAATCTGTCAGAGCAGAGACAGTAGCCACAACCTGCCTTCACTATGGGACATCAGTCAAAGCTCGCCTAAACGTAGCATTAATCACTAATCATTCATTGCATTGCGTTGCCCATCCCTACTCACTCCATGTGTAAAGTCATACACGCTATTTATGATATCGGGTTTTTGCAAAAAAAAATCCAATTCGTGGCCTTCTATACATGGGGACTTACTCCCGCTTATCTATCGTATATTGGTATCCAGTTATCTACCAATAACACCTTGATGACGATGCATCTGATGAGGATTGTGAGCAAGTAGAGGGTCTGGGAGACTTTCCTTTGTTTTGGACATTGTCTATACATGCAGGGATTGGCGCAATGGGCAGAATATCAGCGTCATCCTCAGATTTGCCCATGCGTTGCACCTCCTCTTTTTCAGAGTCGGATTTGACAACCTCCAATATCCTTGGCTTTGCCTTGCCTCTTCTTGTTGGATAGAAGGAGAAGAGACCGCCCACTGGCAGGATGGTCTATAAGTTGGACCTTAGTGATTAATGGAGGATGGTAGACGTAGTCCTTAAAGTTGGTCCTTAAAGTTTGCCCTTATGTAAAAAATGAGCACGCCTTAAAGCATGTTCACTTCATTTTTTCAAGGCCGCAGCTGCAAAGATATTTGAAAGGGCTCTTGATAAAAGGCCATGAATGTACATTATGCATAGTGAGAATGGCTAATGAGATCGCAATGAATATACCATTACTGGTTCCAAAAACATGGCAAAGAAGACCTTCTTGCCCAACTTGAAGATCAATTGCAGTCCATAACTACAGACTCTATACATAATACATTACCAGGGTACTGGCATGGTGAACTTTTCTAGGCAAGACAATAGTTCTGTTCGATTGATAGGATTACCTGGGTGCATTTGATCGCCCCTGCGATATATTTGGATTGCAGAGTCCAGATCTGCCCAGAAATATTTGATGATTGCTTCTGACATTGCAATAGCTTGTTCAGTAGTGTCCAACATCTCTGCTTTTTTTCTTGCCAGTGCCAGCAGCTATGTACTTCTTGGACTCTAGGACCATTGCGCATAGAGCGCTAAGAGACCTACTGTACAAGGCTTTGGACAACATTAGAATCTTGGATGCTGCTGATGCATGGGGATGATCTATCACTTACTGATGCAGCTAGGTAGGTATGGCAGGTTGATGATCATTCGCTGGAATGTGGCGATTGAATGTTCATGGATTTGGTTAGTGAAGGTTGTGCCCTTTGTATGGTCCACATAACGAGAAAGCTCGGTCAAATGCATGTACTGGTGGTTGTAGAAATGGCCACCAGTGGCAAATGTTGCCACAGGTGTGTAGACTGCATGAAACTGTCCAGGCGGTTGAATACTTGCAAATGTAAGCTTAAACTAATAAAAGGTACAGCGCAATGACTCACAGCAAATCTCCTGGCAAGACTGTGACTACTTCAAAATCCCATTTGGATTCTATCTTCTTGCGGTTCTTCTTAAGGTTGGCAAAGAGTGCAAAATTTGCACTGAGGGCAGTTCGGGAAATTGAGTGCCCATCTTTTGGAAAAGCTAGACACCAAAATTTTACACCACTATGGTTCTCTACCTTGACGTAAGTGTTTCCTCCATCAGAGTCATGGTGGAAATATGTGAGGAACCCAGCATGGTGAAGTAAAGCCCATGCCTTTACAAGAAAGTTGTCTGGATGGACTGATTGCGGTTTGCAAGTTAAAGTCAGATTCCATGCATAGACCATGCCGTGATCAAGAGTACTAAGGAATGTCATTTTAGAGGGAAGAAATGGAAGGATGGCGCAGTACTTACCTGAAGAAGAATGGTAGACCTCCCTGAGAAAATGGAAGATCAAGAACGCATTGAATGATGTTGGGGTTGTGGACATTGCCAATAAACTGTTGGATAGTGCTGTCCTTATGGGGATATGTGAAGTTTGCCACACGGGCTTTGACGTCTATCAGAAAGTATGAGACAGGCTAAGAAGCAATATGAAAATAACAGACTGACCGTGGGCAACAATAGGCCTCATGGATGACATACCATAGCGTTCCAGGTAGTCAACATCAAGCTTGGCTGGCTCAGGTTTAGGGAGCCCATGAAGAAGGAAGCATTTTCCTTCACGAAGCGTTGCATTAACTAGCTCATGTAACTCCATTGGTTTTGAACTCCAATCGCAATACTGGGCATGCACAACGTATGCTGAACTTGGGAGGGATTGCGGAAGCTGAGCAAGGAATTTGACGTATGCAACATCATCCTTGCATATATTTATGCCATCCTCCCAAATGCACGGTAGTACTGTGATATGTCCATCAGACCATTCAACAGTCTCTGACTGTTCAGGCACTTGAACTCCAATGATATCAGATGCCAGGTCCAGGTTCAGCTCAGGAAGGGTTGACAAAGTGGGGAGTGCAGGTTCAAGTTGAGGCTGGTTGGGGAGGGGATATGAATTTTCTGAGGGAGTTTCAGTCATGATGGATACGTCGCAGGTGTGAGAGGTTTTAGCTGCCATGATACCCTGAGCAGTAGGGGGGGGGTCCACCATTGTGGCAGCATCGCGTGTGCTATGGGAGCTGGATGGCTGCAGTAAGAGGACAGGATCAATGGGGATGATTGGAACCAGTTGTGGGTCTGAGGAGCTGACTTGGGGGAGGGGCAGGGAAACAGCTGGGCCATTGGATAACCTGACAACATTGGAAGATCCCCCTGCAGAGTCTGTGGGCACCACCTGCCCATTCTTTTGCGCCCGTTTTAGCTCACGGTTTTTCCGTTTATTTTCAGTGTTACGTTCTCGGAGTCTGGCCCTTTTGGCTGGGTCAGCATTTTGCTCCTGAACCCATCGCTTCACTTGTTCCTTTTGCCTCTCTGCTCGAGGTAGACCAGCCAATTCTGGGTATTTTAATTTGCGGAGTGGCATGATATGTAAAGAAATTAGAAAACAGATGGGAGTATGACGGAGGAGTATGATACCTCCAAAGCACAATAAACAATAGATGATTTTTGTACCTCATTTTATTTTGTTCCCATTTTATGGCTGTTGCAGATACGGACCCTGTGAAAACAGGCCCTCTGAGAGCTTTGTAGCCTTCCATTGTGAGCCTAATTGCTGGAGCCCTGTAGCAATATTATGAAAACTCCGCGTCCTCTTCTTCTTTTTCTTCTTTTTCTTCTTCTTCCTCCTCTTCTTCTACTCTCTTTCTTCCTGCACTTCTACTACTTATAACTCTTTGCACTGATTTCCATCATCATATTAGCTCGATGGATAACTGGAGAATTGTCATGTTGGGAGATGGTGGTGTTGGCAAAACTGCCTTAGCTATTCAAGTGCGTCATTGTAAAGCTATTCAAGTTCACGCCCACACTGTGCTCATATTTCCTCCAAGTTTTCCCGCAACTGTTTCATCCGTGAGTCTAGTAGTAGCATTAGCATTCTATATTAATATAGTAACGGCAATCTCACTCACCATCAAATTATGTAGAGGTACGCATGCTGGTATATGCTATCTCCCATCCATTAACTCATGGACTGACTGTAGAGTTATGACCCAACAATAGAAGACTCTTATAGAAAGCAGTTAATTGTGGATAACAAGAGGAGTTGCATTGAAATAATTGACACTGCTGGACAGGGTAAGGCTTGCTCGCTTATTAGAACTTCAATGCATCTATCTGACATTTATATAGAAGAGTATGGAAATTTGCGCAACCAATGGGTTCGGTAGGCAAACATGACGCTCTTGTACTGTGTCAACATCTGAGTCTCTATTCAGGGAGGGCCAGGGCTTTATTCTGGTTTACTCAATTACATCAAGATTCAGCTTTGAACGGCTTAAGGCCTTCCAACAATCTCTGGTCAAAGTCAAGCATCAAAAACCCATCTTTATCCTGGTAGCCAACAAATGCGATATAACGCATGAACGTGAAGTCTCACATAAGGAAGGAATTGCCCTTTCGCAAACATTTGGGTGTAAATTCCTGGAGACATCAGCAAGGACGGCGTATAATGTTGAGCTCCTCTTCTCAAACATAGTACAAGCCCTACGGCAAACAAAATGGATGGAGTCTAGGATGGTAGGAATGATAGGAGACAAACCGCCAAAGGAATGCAAGAATGACAAGAAAGCTAGATGCGTGGTGATGTGAGGGGCTTTCTAGTACATTGTTTATATTTTTCTTGACTTTGTGACTCGGAATTCTGCATCTTACTATAGCATTGCATCGCAACTCTTTCAATCAATCAGAGTTTGATTGCGCTCTGCATAAGCATTTCGGCCCCATTACGTATGACCAAGTTGGAAAACTTCGCACAGGGCTTCTTGTACGTCTTCGACGTATACGAAGCGGATTCCTATCTTGACGCTTTCTGGGACGTTCTCTTCGATGTTAGCCGACGAGCGATATCCTGATGAACAAAAAGGCGAGACGCTGGAAATAAATTTAATGTACCGACGTCTGGATGGATCTTCACTAGTACAGCGCAGCTGACTCGGGCATGAACTCCGTAGCGCAGTTCCCATTTGTCAACGACGAGCAACCTCCCCTGCAGCGATGAGGCGTAAGATCGGGAGCTTGACAGCTCGAGTTGCATCCACCTACGGGCTACGCTAAGCGATTGATCTTACTTTCTTGCGCTCAAATATTCGTCCATTGGAGCGCTTTGAGTTCCTTGAAAAAAGAGCAAGAGCGACAAACTACCAGCTTGCAATCAAAGGCATAAAGCCTTCCAAAGTATGAGCTTGCGCGAGGCGTCCCAGAATAGGCGGGAGATAGCGCCGTAGGAAATGACGATCGGCAGCCGAGTGACTTTTAAAATCAAGTTGAACGAGCGGGATAGAGTACGAAGGAAGCGCAGAGGGGAGCTTAACGGTACCAACGATGACTGCCTTCAGATTTTGCGTTACAATTTTACATCAGCGGCTCCAGGCGTCTGATTAGCGAAGTCAGGAATGAAGCGCCGCGCGCTAATAAAAAATCGCACAAGCTTTATTGCGGCGTCAAACTACGCTACAGTGTTGATATTGTCGATGGGATTATCCTGCTCAGGACGTTCAAAGGCCAATCTACAGCCCCTGTGGAGAATGCCGCTCAATCTATGAGCGACTCGGGCTAGCAAGCAGATAGAGGGGCGATTCAAAGTTAGAAGTCAGCTTCGAATTGCTTGAGCGCACAGAGTCGACGTAGCGGCCTGGGAGCGCGTTGACGCAAATGAGCGAAGGGGAAGTAGATTTCGAAGTTATCCGCTCAGGACGCTCAAGGCCAATCTATGGCCTTTGCAGAAGCCAATCTATGGCCTTTGCAGAGAACGTCGCTCAATCTATGAGGGCCTCAGGGCCGGCGAGCGGATGAAGGCCATTCCGCCGCGATTCAGCGTTATTTATAAGCTGCGATGTATATTACCTAAGCCCCGAAAACAACTCCATTTTCACAAATTGTTCATCATCATCGATGGTATGCGCCGATCGCAGCAATTTCTTTTCGCTCGTCTATCAAATATGCTATTGATCTAATGAATCTCAAGCTACCGCGTAACCAGAGACGACGCGGTAAGGGGTCAAGAATGGACCCTAAAGCGTTGCCAACGATCGAACTTGCTTGCCGGTTTCTAATAACCCGTTATCATTCGGACCTTTCTCGGTTCCTTCGAACGACTTCAAACCCTGAGCAAACAAAGTCCGGACGCCCTCACGTCATTCACAATGAAAAGACCCCAGACTCCGCCCAACATCTTCGCTTCAAGTTAACGTTGCAGCCATCACCGAGCAGTATAATCCTCAGCGTCAACGTATCCCCACTGCCCGCACGCCGACCCCCGCCCACCACCACCCCACGCTACCGTCCGTTCTTCGTTAAGGTATCTCCTTCATTACTAGACGTGGCGCTTATTATTCCTGACGTGGCAGTTAAACCTCGTTATGGGATGTTGCGTTATTTGTATTTTAGCATATAGCGCAGCAATGAATACAATTATATGATGGATCTTATGCAAGGGCCCGCGTCCAACTACCGTAGCATAAAGTGCGCCTTGAGTCCTGGAGCAAGACCGGAGCAGCGAAAGTTACGGAAGAATGAAGTTTGGTACGATGAAGTGCATATATACGCGATAAAATGGGGGAATTTTACTTGCGAGTTAGAAGAAGGGGAGGGGTACTCTAGACAAGCAAAAAGGTGGGTAATGAAGAGCACGCAGCCGCGTCGCAAGCCCGTTCATGGCCGTAAAATGCATCAGAGTGACTTGTTGTAGGTTGAGTAGAATGAGGTTTGGGTGGCGCCTAGGCTATCATCATCCACGCAGCGCACCGTCGAGAGTACTGAACAGTGAGACGGGAACATCGACGAGGTGGAGTGGAACGAGTGAGTCATCAAACTAGCTAGTCACCAGCGCAGTGATATGATTGTGTATAGTATGCCGCGGCCATAAACGCGGCTCCGGTACTCCTCTGACTGGTTGAAGGGCATTAACAAGCGCGTAGGATGGCACTGGCGTGAATGATACGGTTATTCGGGGCGCTGGTTGCTGCAGTGCATTACGATGCGTGGCTTAATGTTGGGAATTGCAGCGCTAGTGTTCGTTTTGCGCGGTTGAATTTTGAGTGACATGGCCATTGGCGGCGCTGCAATAGGATTAAATCACCGTTAAAATTTGAATGGCATGAGTGAAGATGCATACCTTGACGAGTGATACTTCTCGATGCACGGTACGTATGAGTGGAATCGCGATCACGAGCGCCAATGCCCAGCGACGCGTGAATATCCGAATGCTCTGCGCTGCTCGGTCGTCAAAAGCACGTCCTCTCAAGCCTTTCCTAGCTGTCAACGATGTTTACAGCGAGTGCGTTGCGGGCCTGGCAACATCCCAATCAGGCTGCTTGGAGAGTTGGATGTTTTATATATATTAACGAGTCTGCATTTGATACAAAGCGTTAATAAAGGAGTGTTAATACACGAAAATGCAAAAAGTTAAGATGTCAAAGACGTGACGAGGAGAAGATCGAACCGACAAGACTGAACTTAAAAGTGGGAGAGGGACGCATGCGGGGAAGTTGAGACCGTTATATGCTGCTCGGTGACCGCTACGATATTAAGTTGAAGCGAAGATGTTGAACAGAGTCTGGGCGCTTTTCATTGTGAACGACGTGAGGGCGCCCGGACTTTGTTTGCTCAGGGTTTGAAGGAACCGAGAAAGGTCCGAATGATAACAGATTACCGTGAACTCCTTGCTGGCATCGGCGATGCGGAGACTTGCGGAGAACCCGGGTAAGCTTACCCAACCTCTTTAAGGTTCGATGTGAGATGAAGCGGTAGGCGGAGCTGCGGGACTCATACAAGGACCCAAGCGATGAGAACGCTCCCGTTCAAACCGGGCCAAAACCCATTCGACGTAAAAATGCAGCTCAAAGGCGTGCAAAAGAGACTGCCTGCCAATAGTCACATCCTGCTTATGGGAGGGAGAGGCACCAGAGCTTGACGCGGTGGCATCTTAAGGGGTAATAATCAGCCTGAATGCGAAACTCGCCGTTCAAAGCTGAAGGCTCTGGGACGAGAGGCGCGAAATTACAAACGCGATGCGCGTTAAGAGGTCCCAGCAAGGCCGTATGTCCGGAGTTGACAGTCTAGTCAACAACTACGTCGACGGCTGCTGATGCAAGAGTCAGAAGACCCACGTTCATAGTCTTCCAAGCGTTGAGGCGAGAGCCAATGACCGCCATGATCAATAAACTACGACGGAGGATGCAACCGTCGAGCCCCGCTCTGATTGGATAACGAATCTGAACGGAATATCTGCATTGTCGGCACTCCCGGCCGGTAAACTTGCATATAGTCAGGAGAAGAAAGTCAATGCTCTGACCTGTTTGGGATTGTAGTAGACGCATCGTCAAGCACAGCGATGCAAACCTGTCCTCGGTTTCATCGACGTCACTAGCCACCCGGGCGATAGATAGCGGAGCCTTCGCGCATGAGCATATTGCAACGCTGTCATTGCAAGACCTAATCATTAATGGAGGTTCAACAAGAGTGAATGCGGGCGCGAGAGAGGTTATTCTTTTGACGGGTAGGCTAAGGAAAGGCGTACGCCTGTATGGGGGGTGAGCGACCACCTGATTTTGCGCGGATGCCTATGGAGAGGGCTCCGACTCCGTTGTCTATTGGGACGTTTAGGAGGGACGTCTCAGCAAATATTGAGTTGACGTCTGTGAATGAATTTATACTGTATAACGCCTTGAAGGATAGACTGAGAGGCAGGCTTAGGACTGGGGCGAAGACTCAGATCTAGAATCGCAGCGTAAACCTCAAATTGCGCTTTAAGGAGTCAGGACGGACTTTAAGGAGTCAGGACGGACTTTAAGGACGCGCTCACTTTAAGGACGGACTTTGAGGACGAGCTCCCTTTAAGGACAGACTTTGAGGACGAGTTCACTTTAAGGACCGTGGTAGTAGGCATGCTCTTAGTAAGCGCAGCCATCTTCTAGTAGAACTCACTAGTACGTGGCATAACCGCGTTTCCCCGTACACTTCCGTAATAGAAGGAAGGCGCCAAAGCTTTGCTTGATCCATCACTCCATCAATCACGTCCAACTTATAGATCATCCTGAATGGTTCATTGGCGAATGATCTTGAAGGTGCGAGCGCCAGCCTTCAGACTTTAAGGACGAGCTCGCTTTAAGGACAGAGATGCTCTTAGTACTAGCGGCTATCTTCTATTTCCCTGTATTCTTCTGTAATAGAAGGCGCCAAAGCTTTGCTTGATCCGTCACTCCACCAATCACGTCCAACTTACAGATCATCCTGAATGGTTCATTGGCGAATGTTCTTGAAGGTGCGAGCGTCAGCCTTTCAAGTTATCGGCGACTAACCGAGGAGCAGCGCAAGTTAAATGTTAATCGCAACCGTAGTTCGAGCCATCCGTCAAAGCTACGACGGACCCATATTCCTCCCCCTCTTCACTAGGGCTTCTCGTGGGACAGTGCAGTCAGTCTTTTCACTACTCCAACTATTCTGACCATGATGCATTCCCTACCTTCGCGTTGGATTGTCGCGTCGGAAATACCTCATAGGCGCCTGCGGTCCATATACCAAGTTGTACTACTACTTATATATACATACCTTTTTTCACAGCCAGGGGCTGCATCCACCGAAGCCGTGCGGAAGATCTACCCACAAGGCTTCCAGGTGCATACTCCCTGGCCGGCCTTGTAAACTCAGCGACGGACGCAGGAGCTGCTCTCACAGGGTGAGCCGTATCGTCCTATGTCAAAAAGTACGTTTGATTTATTTCTCTTGAAATCGATGTCTTACAAAGATCTATCGCTTAGTACTATCAATATCAAAGCATCAACGTTGGCGCCAAATATCAAAGGGGGCGCCAGTCCTCTGCCTGCGTCGCTTGCTTCTCCCTCCGCAAGTCCACCAATTGAGAGTTTCAACAGACGTATTATCTCTATCTGGAGTGCGCTGCAGGTAATTAACTTGGGATTCGCTAGGCGAGTGGCCTATCACCCCGATAATGATATCCATCCCGCGTGCGACTTGGTCAAGTCATCGTTCAGGTTACTCCCCGAACCTTCTTTTCATCGCCGTCCTATTTCAACGTTATCGAGATAATGAGTAAAATACATTCCATCAACGGTCTTTTTCAACGCTCACGTTCTTGCAGAGCTCGAGAATCTTAACTCGCGGCTTGCGCGTATCCGGAGCGTTGCGCACGGGCTTCCTTAGGCAAACTTTGGCCTTTTGAAGAGGATCGTCGAACGTCTCGATAGGTGAGTTTTTGAGCTTGTTTCTTTTGTCAGCTGAGCGATATTGATACTTATCCTCCAGAATAACCGAGTATAGCGTACGCAACAAAAAATGCTTGCAATCGTTTCAGCTCCAACTTCCTTCGTGCACCGCAGAATGACTTTTCCCTCATGTTGTCGAACGTGTGACATACCCACAAACCCGTGAAAGCCCTGATCGTGGAGTGACACCGCTCATCGTTCCTCCACTGATACTCGCCGCAGTTCTATGGCGATTGTTCTTCTGGCTCGGGGCGCTCTGCCTTATCAATGCGCTCAGCGGCGCAGTCCCGAATCTCGTCCTTCTTCCGCTCCTAAAACGTGTACCTCTGTCTAACCCCCATCTTGCCGGAATCCCCTGAAGTTTCTTTGCACGGCGCTCGCCTGGGGTTTGATTTTGCAGTTTGGCAGCGTCTGCCCTCGGAAGTGCCAAGCTCTTCACACCTGCTGAGATCTGCACTCTTATGTCCGAGTCATCACTCTCGGCACACCGTATATCTGCCAAAAACATTGATACTGCAGGGAGGAACTAGATATGGTAAAAGGTCGATTTTGATTCAAATTGTGCGTTCGCGCGAACAACCATCCGAACAACCAGTTTCGAAAGAAGATTTATGGAGGTTCGGGAATGAAGGACGACGGGTATATCAACTGCTGTGCGTCTCATCCCCTCCCATGTTTTTTTTACTGAGTCTCCCATCAGCCGCAGCATTCCTTGAGTTTCACGAGCGACATCACTTCTTTGTCCTTTTCTGGGCGCGTTCAACATTCTCCTCTGCACCTCCCGGTCTGTCATCCTACGGCATTGCTGACTATGTTAGCCACTCTCTGCGTTCCTCCACCCGAAGCGACCCCAAACGGTACAGACGCGTTTCTTACGCCACTACGTCCAACGAGATCTACAACAATTTTGTCCACGCAGATATCTTCGCGGCCGGCGAGGTAAGTTTGCGAGTGTTGATAGGACATTGCAAAGTATTCCCCGACTCTAGAAGTAGAGCCTCGAGCGCTTTGCCGGCTAGAAACGCATCCATGTCTCGGTCAAAAGGTTTGTGTTTTTTTCCTTACGTCACGCGCAACTTGTATGTTTTCATTCTTGAGCGCAATATTAATACCCGTTCTATTGTTTCGACCGCCCATCAATCTGTTCCTTTGTAAGGTATCGCAGCTCCAAGGCTCGGAAGGGTAGTACTGATATTTATGCCACATATTGATCGTGAATTTCGAATTTTGTTTTGGTCGTTATTCGTTCACCTAGCTGGGATTTATCTATATTTACAAAGGGCTCCGGGATTCCTCAACTGACTCGCACTCCCGGGCCCCGACAGAAGCGTTGCCTGACGCCTGCGCTTTATTCGCTACTCACAAAAGAGCCGTCCTGCTTGTCATAGACGCCCTACGCTTTTATTTTATTGCAGAATGCCCGCCAGAGCTTGTTTCACCTTTCCGAGTCGTACTATTCTAACTCTGCCGCGCGAATTGACCGCCGCTCACCGCGACAGATCATCCATATTCAACACGTGCTCTGACCCACCGACCACAACTCTTCGGTGACTCAAGGGCATTGCCACGGGGTCTCTGTCTGTCTCCATCCACCTTTGCCTCCATCCCAGGCGCTCGAAATTGTCGTTGATCAGTGATATGAGGGGGCGCCCTCCAGCATGTACCATCTTACTTTAAGGACGTTGGTCTCCATGTTCTCTTGAATTCAAACTTTGTTATCAGAGATCGAAATTACATCTCCACAACATGAGAAAATCAACAAAATCGCGCCTGCCATCTCTTTTGCTTTTATGTGGGCGGAGAAAGTGCAAGACTTGGGAGGCATACAACGCATCCTCCACAATATCAGGCTGTGCATTTGATGAGCGAATGCGTACTCTGAAATCAGGAAGAACGCTCACTGGACTGCCATCAAAGGCTGATTCGACATTATCATCCGCCTGAGCTTTTTTCAGATCACGCACATAACGATGAAGTTGACATGGAGTCTGCGGTCCGCCAATGTACATAGCATCCGAAGGTTTGTCCCCCGTAAGAATTCTGTTAGAAAAATACGCCACAAGTAAATTGCCATCTTCATCAGCATACTTAGCAGAGAACGCATTGGATTCCCAGTCCGCCATCTCATGCATGATCTAGGTAGCATAAGCTTCATCCGCTTTGCTAGGCTTTGACCGCTCTGCAAGCTGCTTAATTTTCACAACTGGAATGCGAAACGTAGGTGCAGTTTTGGACCAGTAGTCGCAGATATGGGTGGCAGTCCTTCGCAGCATGAACGCCTTCCGCTGTTTTGCAGGGCCATAGCGCCTTTTTGGGAGGGGTATGGACGTTGCAGCCAGAAGTTGCGTCATGTCACGGCCAGTCAACATTGACGCGTGCTTTGCGACTTCACCTCGTTTACGGCGCGCCTCTGAAAATATTTGAGCAAACAAATTGGCAAAGAAATGGCACACGCGCTCTCTTGCTTGAAGCTGCGCGATCGTTGACTTTGACTTGCCTTCGACTACCAGCCATGAAAGTAAAGATGTAAATATGCAAGTTAATCAGAATGCCATCGGCAGCAGACGTATAGCATAGGCTTACTGGCAGCGGAGGGCGATCTAGGGCGATCTGCTTTCCCATCGGTTGGGAAGCTGCCAGTCAGATTTCAGATCATGATGTAATTAATGATGATGTCGGATATCGCTGATATATCGGGTAACGGTCTGCTGGATTTTAAAAAATATTGTCTCCAGATGCGATCGCGGTCAAGCGGTCCGCTCAGCTTCGATCGTCAGTTGGCTCTTTTCCAGGAAGAGTAGCGCTCTGCGAATCAAAGGGACTCGGACGTTGGTATCCTGAATATTTAACCTGGAAGGCGCCTCGATAGCCGTGGAGACCGGGTGGAGATGATTGCGTTTGTTCTGCGACTTGGACAAGGCCACGATTGAGGACTCAGCCTTGACACGGTCATGAGATTGCGACTTCCCCGAAGGAACCGGAAAGAAAGGGAGAAACAGAACGAGGGCTCTATACAGTCGCCTTAAGATGGCGCTTCTGTCCTGGCGCAAGCCTGGATACATGGGTCGGACTTCGATAGATGCTTGAGACCTTCGACGCTGAGCTTGGGTCAATCAGCCACGTTCTTGACCTCAACAGCAACCTCCACGGCAGTAGACTCGGAAAACTTCATGACCCTCGCGTCATGTGCAGTCACAGAGGTGATGATAGTTCCGCTTTTGAGCAAGAACTGGTCAATACTGACGAGACCGCAGAAGTTACCGGTAGGGCGATCTTGAATAGACTCCATGTAATGACCCATCATGAGCGCCGTGTACTGGACTGACTTGACGAATAAGTCAGCCTTATTTCCAGGCTCGTAGTCGGGGCCCTGGATATGGATCTCGGGACCAGAACGAACGGTACCGGAGAACGCAAGACCGCAGGCGTCCCTTATCCGAAGTGGGCGCCGTCTTTGACAGGTAGGGTCTTGGAATTACAGTCCCTGATACCAATGGCAGACTCATCATCGCTGAGACCTTCGTAGAGCGTCTTAACGCAGCTGCGTTGAGCAGAGGCGGGGGAAGAAAGGTTGATAATTGTCGTCTCCAGGAGGGAGTCGCCAGCGGGCAAGAACTTGCGCATGACGACCTTGAGGAGAGCATTGCCTTCGAGATCTTGCTGGTCAAACGTCAGTTTGACATCGAGATTCTCATAAATGGGACCAACCATCGAAAATCATGAATATGGGATTGAGGACGAACGTGTTGACCTTGGCATCGGAGGCCTTCGTACCCCACTTGCGAGCGGCAGAGTTGAAGTAGTTATCACCCCAGAGTCTAGCCAAAAGCTTGTCTTTATGCGCACCGAAGCGACCAGCGAACTGGTAGAGGGTGAAAGCCTATTCATGGTGACCTGAACCGAAAGTAACTATACCCTCGCTTGGGAAGACCTGGACGTCACAAAGGGCAGTCGCTGGTACGCTGGTACGACCGGTACAAGTCCTCTTCTGAAATTTGGAGCCCAAGTAAAGCGCGGTCGACCTTGTTGATGATAACGACAGGTTTGATATGCACCATACGCGCTTGATGAAGCGCCGTCTCCGTCTGTACACTTTCGATACAGTCGGCGACGACAACCAGAGCGCCGTCAGTTGGATGCGGAGAGCGGGCCGTGACTTGTCATGACCAGGTGAGTCGATCGAGTCGATCAAGAACTCCGAGTCGTTGCCTGAAGTAATATTTCATTAGCAAGATTTCGCGAAATTTAAATTGAAGACCTGCCTTCAGTCTTCTGCTTAATAATTTCGACATCTTCCTTTTCCATTTCGAAGTATATGGAGATGGCTGTCGATTTGATCGTGATGCCATGCTCTTTTCCATCGTCTTGTGAGTCTGCAAGCCGCATATCACCAGCTGTCACTGCAGCAATAATAACCTTTGGGATGAGGGCGTGGGCGAGGGGTGGACTTTCCGCGATCGACTGCGTAGGTAATACATATTAGATCAATATGCGATCATCAGCAGGATCTTGCTCACCGCGGGCAATGACGGACGCGTTGATCTGAAAAAGAAAGTTTTTGGTCTTTGGCATATTAACGAACTTCAGGGCAGCTCAACGCTGATATGAATGGATCAGCAACGCCGCCATCATGTGCGTTCTAGTACATGGCGCGCGCCTTGGTCGATCTTGTACGTGCGAGTAATTAGTTACTATCGCAAACGTTGTTAACCACAAGGTCAAAGCGCGCGCACATCTACGGCAATGGAGCCAGTCATGATTGGAAGTTGAAAAGCCTTCAGCTTCGAAATCGCTTGAAGGATTTCGAGTATCTGCGTGAACTATACGGGGGTAAGGTTCGAAACTCTTTATTTGAAGCCATGACTCATAGGGACGAACCTGAGAGAATATTAGAGTCTTTCGTTCTGCCTTCCTATAGTCCTCGGGCAACACGCGACGTGGGAGCAATTCTGCGAGCTAGCCAAATAGTTCACTGCGCTGAACTTTGAGCTCGGATGATATAATTGAAATGGTTGGTTGGTTGGTTGGTTGGAAGTGGTAGGAAGCGGGAGCTGAGAGTGTAGAGCGCCAGCCCGAGGCTTGGTGGGGCAGCAGACGATGTAGTTGTAGTTGCAGCTGGTGCACTGGAGCGGGGCAAGAAGGTCGCCGTTCCTTAGTGCAGGAGATTCGAGGCCAACAGAAGCGACAGACGAGAGGCAGGAAACAAACTGTCTACCAAAGGCAATGGTACTGCTGAGGTTTCGATGTGCTTCGAGATCCGCTCAGCAGGTTTACTGCGCCGCGCCTCGAACCAAAGTCGTCATAAGAATGCTACCTACCTTATAGCAAAGTACGTCGATACTTGTGGTTCTGAATTTTGAACGCATGGCAGACGGTAAACGGTCGGGCGCATAGGCTGCCCATATCGCAGTGCTTGCCTTGTTCGAAGAAGCGGGCAAGGCCATAATGCAAGTTTAGAGTTAGGAGACGGACCCTAAGCGCAATCTGGCCACATGCTTCTGGCCGTATACTTGTGGATTGTTACCGTCGGAGATGATATTAGGATAGGAGTAAAACGGTGCCAACGCAGACTGCCAGTGCTGGCGACAGGCGCTCGGCGTGAGTTTAAATTATGGCACAAGACGCGCGCGAGCAGACGGTGCTCAATCATTGCTGGATGATGGCGAAGGCAAAAAGATAAACGCCTCAAGCGCAAGTCTGAGCCAGGCCCAGAATGTTGGCATCAGCGAAGCTTCAGATCACGTGATACTTGCGCACAGACCATTACTTGAGCCGAGCGCGAATGTCGATATACGTCGATTCAACTTGTTTAAACCAATAAAACTCAATTCACTCTCGGAGTCAAAAAATTATGAGCAGTGCCGCTCGCGCATAATTAGCATAACATTGGAAAAGATGATCGTCGAAAGTTTTTTGCGAAATGCACAAGCGCGGCAACAAATAAGATAAGACTCCAAAAGCAAGGCCGACGCAGCAAGGAACAAACTGTACTGCATGCCTCAAGATTCTAGGTGCAATCATTCGCGGACGGTAACAGCTTCCTCAACTCAAGGTTGCCTCGCTTGGTCCATTCCTAAGCTCGCTTTCCAAGTCACCAGACTGTGACGCAAGCCGCGTCTGTATGAAATTAGCTGGGTCTCTGGCGAAACTTTAAAGGAATTGCCGCTTCGTGTGCGAGTTATGTGGTGACTGCGATAATAGCGCAATCTACATTTTTAGGCGTTAGGCGCTGAATCGCATCGAAAAGTGGCTTGACACCGCGTGTCGCCTCAGGGTATGCTTCCAGAAATACTTCCTCGTCCCGCTGCAGCCTGTCGAAGCCCGTGATGAGTTGCAAGCAACCAAGCGCCGCTCTTGAACCCACAATCGGCGTGAGAAGGCTACTCACCGGTAGAACTTGACAGCGATCACCTTGCGGATGTTCCGCTTCACGCCAGTGACCGTGCGCATGGGGCCAGTGTACCACTCTTCATGCCAATCCTTCAGTGCCTTGCCGCCGATGGATGCAGCAGGGTCTTCCCACTGCTTCACGGCAGTGCACCATGCCTCTGGTCCGTGTGGGAGGTCTGGGATGCCGACGCCAGGGATGGGAGCTGCCTTTTTTGCTGCAGCGCTGTGCCGGTGGCTGTTAGAGGGTGGCGCCTGTGGTGTAGGAATGGCGCGTTTGAAGAGCGTCTCACTAAAACCCTGCTACAGCCATCTGAAGACAGTCGTCGAGCATGCAGCAGTAGCTGTTCTACCTTGGAGTCATCGGCCACTCATACCAGCATACTACACAAGGCTGACATCGCCCATTTTGCCGAAGTTGGCTTCGATGTATTAGTCGGAACCCTAGCAAACCAGCTTGGATTTCAGGGAGACGTTGTCAAGACTGTTTACAGCCACCTCACTAGCTATGAGCAGACAGTGCAGGTTATGGAATCGATGCAGGAAGCGGCTGAGGTACGTGCTGTCGCCGAGATTTTGAGCAAGAACGAGGAGAGCAGTGAGGAGGAGAGCATGAAGGAGGAGAGCGATTACGAGGAGAGTGTGAAGGAGGAGAGTGATTATGGGGAGAGCGTGAAGGAGGAGAGCGCGAAGGAGGAGAGCGTGAAGGAGGAGAGCGTGAAGGAGGAGTAGAAGGATGAAGAGAATGAGGATATCAAAGAGAAGTAGCAGTGTACTATGTTGGTAGGCTGAGCCGCACAGTCTTATCTGACTGAGGAACCAGACACGATGCGAGTACCATCCGGTGAGAACGAGACTGGGTAAACCTCTCCAGTGTGCCCCTCTAAGGCCTCACCCAATGCTGAACATGTGTAGCCTAATATTAGCCCCGCGGAGGCTTGAAATCGAGGAACTCACTCTTCTGACTTGTTACGTCCGAGGGGGGTCTTCAATCTGAATTTTGAATTTCTGTGGGAGGCGCGAAACATGTAAGTGACGGTGAAAGGGGAACCAAGAAGCACGAAATAGAAAAGACAAAGGACGTACGTTCAACCGCGTTGGATCGCCATTCAGCACACGCGTAAGATACAGTTGTTTCATTTCTTTCTCGAGTCGGCTTGGGAGGCCTGGGTACATGCTTGAGCCGCCTGAGAGGACGATGTGTTTGTACAGTTCCGCTCGGGTGTCAACTGCTGCGGCTTGGATGGTTAGGAAGAGCATTTCTGGGTGGAGGAGTGAGATAAGTAGAGCGGGAGATATGAAAGGGTTTCACTCACCTGCTATGCCAGGTTGATCAAGATCCACGTTCGCAAACACGGTGTCACTTGCAGAATCCAGCTCGATCGCCACAGAGTATAAATCAATGGCCCTGTTGTAGTCACTTGCAGCGAAGGCATCATCTCCGTTGGCAAGATATAGGGCGCCGTATTCCTGCTTAAATGGTGAGTGAAACGGGTGAGGATCAGAGCCTGCATGACAATATGAACTCCAGACTCGCCGTTGGACCAGAAGATTAGAATGCAAGGGCTGAAATGCCACGCAGCCAACCACATCTTCGGTCACAAAGATCAGCTTTAAAGGGATGAGCGCGGGGTGTTTGGTATACTTGCCTCCGTGTGCGTTGAAAGTCATCTCTGGGGCGATATTTTGCAGCGAAATCAGAGATGACTGTTCAGAATCCAATTCGTCCGAATCTCCGAGGTCAAACATCGAAACGCATCCATTCTATAATCAGATTGTTAGCAAGGAAGCCTGAATGGTGGATATCTGTGAAAGTCGAGTACCTGATCACCGACGCTCAACAATCTCCCAGCACAATCTATGTCGAATTCGATTTTTTGATTGGTTAATGTTTTGCGAGAATCAGGGGACATCCTGGAAACCTTCACGGGTACAGATGTATCACTGCGAAGGTCCCATGCATATATAGCATCGTGTCGACGAAATGCAGCATACAAAATATGCGGTTTTGTCGGGTGAAACTTCAGCTGTAAGGAATGAGATAAGCTTTACTGCTAATTCTCCAGGCGACATGCCTGCGTGACTCCAGAATGAGAATATGCGCCTCCTATAGGCATGATGGCTGCTTGATTTGACTCCGAATACAGCACAATATTGTCCATTGCTTGTGAGGAAGGTGTTAGGCTGCCGATCGCGTAGTAGTCATAAGAGGAGGAGAAAGCTATGCTGGATACGATGCCTGAAATTGGATCAACATTCATACGATCTAGGAAATGTAATATCTTGCCTTTGAACCCATCCTTGCTCTTCTCGGAAGGCGTGGTCGGGAGCCGATCGCCCTCCCCAGGTTGTTGTATGTCGAATATCTTGATGGCATCTTCGAAACCGCAGTATAGCCTTGATGTGGGTAATGCCCGTGGTGATTATTATCAAAAATAAATGGAGTTTTCATGACAGGCTTACTTATTGGCTGTTAAGTTGAACGCGAGACTATGAGGAGCGATGAACCTTTCACGATGATCGATAATCTGGTACGAGGCCCTCAGCTAGTGGGGTTGATCGGCGGTCTGACGAAAACGTATATGAACACTACCCTTCCATCCGAAGCATCCAGAAGCTTCACTGGACAGTCACGCACAGAAGCGACGAAACAGTAAGCTGGAGCATTGCTGGATGATGCCCCAGGATACCAAGCAAAATTGACGACCACTGAGGACTGCGAGAATGTACGCTTATGGTGAGCGGAGAACTGTGTGCCTTCAGGACGCTTCGATAGGTGAAAAACCTAAATCATGCATAACACGACTGACCTTGAATGTCTTGACTTCAGGGTTTCGGAGGTGTCGTTTACTGTTGAGTTTCAAGGCGCGAAGTTCGGGCGCGGGGAGGATGTTCCAGATGGGTTGGGTAATGGCGATGATGTCTGCTGCTTCGCCTGTGTATTGGACTGGGGGGTCAGTAGGTATTTCCAGAGTACCATGGAACTGAATTACATGGGTGGCGTCAAGGGCCGTTAGCGTTAAACAAACCGTGCGGCTAGATCTAGATAGTGCAGGACAAAGAGCGCGCAACTGTGACAAACGGTCACGCCGCCTCGTTAGGGCAGCACCCCTGGTCTGAGTGTAAGGTGTATTGCTACATTTAATGAAAGGGTAAAACCTACACACCTTTAGGGAACATTCAGAGTAGCAGAGATAGTAGTGTGAATGTGAGGCTAGTTATGTGGTGACTGCGATAATAGCGCAATCTACATTTTTAGGCGTTAGAGAAGGGTCGGAGCGGAGGGATTGAACGTCTTACCTCATCATCCAACTTGGTGAGGCGTCTTCTGCTTGATTGTACCATCATCATGATGCGGTTCTTCAAATTGGTGTCCTCCATCTTGACCTCGATATCCCAAGCAGAAGGGCGCTCTGGGGGTACCTACGCCGGGTTGATAGTGACCTGCCAGGCTGCGGTAGTCTTCAAGTTTGGAGACGTTCGGGTACGGGCGGGCCTCTGAAATTTTTGGTACCCGGGGGCTGGTTGCGGGTTTAATGCGCCAGTTAGTGGGAATGTAGTCTGCCGCAGATATACCGCTTGGGGTAACCAAACATCACCTCATTGCGTTACGCGTAAGATAATGCCAGAGGGCAACGGCTGAGGGTAATCTGCTTTCTGAACAGTCGGGATGCTGTCAAACTTCATGATATATATTAATCCGGGCGATCAATATATGACTCAATAATAAATATGCAGCCTGGGCGCAATCGCCCAGCTCTCTGCATTTCTACCTTGCGTCGATACTACAACGCTTAATATGCAAGAGAAGACTATAAAAGCCTTGGAAATTTACAACGAGGAGGCTCTGGCTCCTGCAGATTATAGCAAAGAAGGGCAAGAGGGTGCGGATGGGCTGAAGAGCAAGTGGAAATTGCCATTGAAAGCTCAGGTCGCCCCCGTTCCTGGTTAGTAACGTCCTCCATAAGATACTGCACTCCAGAGAGGAACAAATCAAGCGTACTTGTTGTCAAGGGACGATGCAGCCCGAATTCTCCACGCATTGCAATCAATCCAAGATTTAATGGCAAAGATGGGGCAGCGACGCTGGTGGCAGGGACATCTTAAAGGGTTTTGTTCGAGGGGACGACGAAAAAGAGCATGACGAATTCTATAACGAATGTAGATACTCAGTCTCGCTTAAGTCGAAGATTGAGGTAAAACCTTCGCATAGCGTATTATGTAAGCAAGCGTTGCTTGTTGAAGTCCGATTAATGCTATCGCTTATCTATATGACCTTACAACGCGCGGGCCCACTCAACCAGTCAACAGTTGTTGTCCGCCGCTCGCCCCTCCTATTCCTTCAACAAATCGTCGGCGTTTCTCGCGCGCAAGCTTCGTCAAAACGTCGGCAATCTGTTGGTTTGTGGAGACATACTCAACGCATATCTCGCCTTCCTCCAACTTCTCTCGAATAAAGTGATACCGGATTGCGATACGTTTGTTGCGTTCGTGAAACATAGCATTTTTGGCTAACAAAATCGCAGATTGGTTGTCAATTTGGAGGGTTGTGGAGGGAGCCTTTGAAAAATCGAGTTTGCGGAGGAGAGTCCTTAGCCAGACCGCTTCCTTGGTGGCAGTAGCGGCCGCCATGTATTCCGCCTCGGTGCTCGACAGCGCGACGGACGTTTGCTTCTTCGACACCCAACTGACAGCACCTCCGGACATCAAGAACGTGTACCCAGTGATAACCCTGCGGTCGTTTACGTCTAAATATTCTATGCGCTCATGATTTGTCGAGGTCATCGCCACAGGCATCTGTTGTTCTTGCCAGCTATCTTGTCCCACTGTCTTCTGTCTGTGGCAACTATGCCGAACATTTGCAATCAGGACGCTCACGAATATCAGTATGGGATGCGTTGAGCTCGTTAGGAGACCTAGGTGTGAACCCAGAAGAATTAGACGCGTATTGTGTTTCTGAATAGAAGGACCTGGGGAGGTATGCGAGCAGCAGCGCTAGGAGACTCGACGATCTCTTGGAATTCAAAGGTATCTTTCACGAAGTGTCCTATTCGCCGTTTGTTAAACGCAGTTGTTATTACAGGTTGCTATCTGCAGGAGGGCCACGAAGGCGACGCGATACCTTTTCTCGATCCGCAGCCTTTGTTGGGCGATTTTGACGACTATGATGACTCATTCGACCATTCAACGACCCCAGATTTCCTCCCTCACTTCCCAGATGTGACGCGTCGCGCCTGCGAAGTATATCACCAAAGCCAACGTGAAGCTCGAAAAGCCACTCTCACTCATTCCACACCACATAAACTCCAACACCGTTTCCGATTGCGTGACGCAGGTCAACTACTCAAAGAGTCTATCCTAGCTTCCACGCCAGAGTTGCACCTCTCCTCGTGCCCACCAGCTAGCGCCATCTCCAAAAAACACCCACCTCACCTTCCAATCCCCCAAACAGCACAAGCGCTCCAAACATACCACCATACCGTCACGCTTTTCGTCCCCTCCCAGCCCACCAAACCCCTTAAAGCACAAAGTTGCGACGATGCTCCTGTCTCAAGCATAAAACAATCCACGGTGGAACCCTCCAGATACGCCATACGCCAACATTGCGCTCTGCCCACCTCGCGCCGAAGTCATCGGCCCTTCCTACCCCGTCTCGCAGTCGACTCTGGACGACACACGTGCAGGAAAAGGCGAAAAAGAGTTCAATAACAAACCTATATTCCCTTCTGCGCCACCCTGCCCTGTTTTTCGGCAGACAGACTTGTTTTTTTCGTGCCTCAGCCATCTTCGCGTTTGCCAGATCTCGCGCGTCAGATCTTGCTTGTAAGTCGTCATTTTGCAAATTTGTTTCATGTCTCATGACGACACCACTATAGCCATCAGCGCTCGCACGCACCGCGCGTCTCGCACATCCACCCGCGTTACGGCGGGGTAACCAGAAACCCTATCATGACGCCGGTATCAGGAACTCATCTGGATCAGGGGCGCCTACAGGCAGGAAAGGTAAAACCGAGGGTACAGCCAACGGACGCAGCAACGAACCTCCAACATTCGTATTACCCGACTCGGACGCATGATTGTTCGCTACGTGGGACTAGTCCCACACCCGTTGTGCCTTCGGCAAATTTCGAGGCAAAAGGCCGCAAGAGGCGTTGGTAGTACACAGTGGGAGAGGCGTACGTGCGTCTGGAGTGATGCTTTCCATGTGGAATCGTAAAGGGTAGGATAGAGATGATGTAGAGTCTCGTACGTATGTATACAAGCCGGGTACTATTATAGTATCTTGCAAAATGTTTAACAAACCGAGTTCTATCGTCTACGTGATATCCAATTTTACAGGAAGGAACGATGGTAATGCGTAAACTCCTTATATATGCCAGTGAGGGAGCAAGATCTAGAGTGTTTTCTTGTTTATATAGCGAACCCCATGCGTGTGCAACTTCGGGAGTTTGAACAATTCAGGCCCTGAGTCACTGCGTCTGATCTGGCATCTCCGAGTCTGTCTTCCGCGTCATTGTCCAAGTTGTAGTACCAGCTTGTGGCTGTGGCGCGCTGTGCGGTCTCACGCCTTCTGCAAAGCGCCCATTTATTCTTGAACTAGTACTCGCTATCATATTACAGCGCACGTTGCATATGAAATCGGTAGCGGTGCGTGTCCACCAAGTCCCAGACTCCAGCTTCTGATCATTTTCCAATTGCAACCTGTTCACTGCGCACTTCAAGCCCCTCTATGCGTTTGGCATTTGCGCCGTGAGCTGTTTACCTAAAATCTTCCTCTGTCCTCCCTCCCTCAGTCCAATTCCTGTACCAGCACCGGCCCCCTGTGCCGGTCGTTCACACTGTACATTGGCGCTTTTCCTTGCATGATCCGTGGGGGCGGTCACTGCGTCTGATATGGCATCTCTGTCTCCGAGTCATTGTTCAAGTTGTAGTACGAGCTTGTGGCTGTGGCACGCTGTGCGGTCCCACGCTGATACTGACGATTCTAAAGCGCGTCTTGAATTTATGGGGGGCGACGAATGGGTCTTTCCGAATATCAGTATTGCGGAACTATCTAGTACAGATGACAATCAGTCCAAATCAAAGTGGACGCACCTGTATCTCCCAAGGGAATGTAATACGGTATCTATAACATCTAGGCCTCAGGTTTGAAAATGACATTTGTCTATTGTCGCCACGTCGTTCCTGTTCTTCTAGCGGATGACAACGTATACTACGTCACTCGACTAGCCACCCGAAATAGTCTCCATGTCCCCGCCGAGGTGGCCTGCACGCTCAGGCTCGATAAGTTTGCTGCAAAGGTGTGAGGAACTGTCAGGATGCGAAACACGACAAGACGCTGACCGCTCAGCACGACTCATGTTAAAGTCATGGGAGAGAAGACCACGGCCGGCTACAGGTCTATAATACGACATTCTGCAAGAGAGACGATGATGCACGTGCCAACGAGGATAGAAAGGTAGGAGTGGTATTGGGAGTACCATTTTGGTGTTGAGACGGAGGCAGAGGGGACCGGATGCGCATTCTTGCGACTGTTGCAGGCGCGGGCAATGGCGCATTGGCACTGGCAAGATATCGCGACTGCTGTTGCTGTGGGGGAGGTGATGCTTGGGATGGGCGTCACGTTTAGTGGTGAAGAATTTACGAGTTGACGGGTGCTATGTGAATGAGAGCTACTCTGTCTCCTGTCTGGGGTATCCCTCTGTGAAGGAGGGCGGTACTGGTGGTCGCTTAAAGTGTCAGCAGATTGAGCTGGGGTGAGAATGATGGTTGCGAAAGGCTGCAATTGCAGATGCGCGGGCGTGTATGTAGGAAGGAATATATTAAGTGTGACCGTCGACGACGCTATATTGATCTTCTGGAAATGCAGGAACGACGGTCGCACGTCTATCGCTTCAAAGTCCATGCCATATTGTGCGCCAATTCAGAAAAAAGGATGAGGGGAGAAAGAAAAGAGCGGCCAGCCGCATGAACTTGAACAAATGTACAGCCTGCAGTACCTGCTTGTCTGCCTCCAATTCCAGCAATTATAAATACTACACCGGCCATATGAGTAATTAATCACCCTCCTTCGATGAAGTTTTGCCATACATAATCGCGCAGGCAATTGACATTTGGAAGCTCCTGGATAAAACGCTTGATTGTGTTCTGTCCTAACCAAAAGAAGTTGGACCCTATGAACTACCTGTGTATATGAAATGGTAAGCTGAAGCTAAGAATCTCGAGGAAACAGAACGAGTTTGGATCGTTAGTGAAGTAATAATGCAGATATGATCAAGGGAGAAAGTGAACATGAATATTAATAACGAGAAGACCAGAACCTTAGGTCGGTGAGATCATCGAGGCGTCCGCACATTTACAGTGGTGTGAGCAGGAGGGTGTGCCTTGGTTACTTTGGATCCAGCTGCGTCGCGTGAAGAACGAGAATTAGGATACAATATCATACAGGAGGTTATAAATGATAAGAGGAAATTAACGCTCACTTGATTTCATAACCATCGTTGCTCGCATCAGCAGTCACTGCATGCAGGTCTGGTCAATCCGTGAACGTCAGGATGCTTGTGGATCCGGCGATTGACATCAGGAGTCAAGACTCGTTGTTAGTCACGGTCACGTGAGTCGTGCGATTCAGATCTCTAGCGCGAGAAAAAACGGTTCCACAGGCGCCCATGATGCTTCGGAGATTGCCGGCACGCTTAAGCGAGACCATTCGTCTCCGCGTCGCGCCCCCTTACGCCTCCCGCTTTTCCAGAAAGTCTGGGAATCCGAATTTTCGGCAGTCTCCGCCCGGCTCCGTGTGGGTCTGTCCGGGTCTGTCTTGGGGATCCCTGGCGCCAAGAATAGACCGTTTTGGGAAAACTGTTCGTTCGGTGCCTCCGTCGATGACAATCGAGGCTTCGAGCTCGATCACTCCGCTTGATTTCCTTGGCTGTTTTGTTTTTCTCCGCTGTTCGGGTAAATTTCTGAACGTCTTCGCCGTTCGTTAACCCCGTTTCTTCCCCCTCTTCTATAGGCGAATTTGAACAATTTTAATGGCTCCGGCAGCTCGCCCAGTACCCAGCGTGACTGTTACTCTCGTCTACGGCGATCCCACCTCGACGGCACCAATGGGCAGTGTCCCCCTGCCCAACAACGCACCCACCGTGAGCAGCGTGCTCGCGGTGGTTTTGATCGCGATCTTTCTTGTCATCGTCGTCACCTGCCCCTGGTGGAAGCAAAAACTCCCGCCCTTCGTCCTCTGTGGATGCTGCCCTTTCATTGTGGTCCACTCGGAGCGCGAAAACAACATCCCAGACATCGTGGACCTGGCGTTCGCCAGGTTGGACGCGACCGGCGCCGGTTCCAAGGAGGTGAGCATGTCTGCCTTGTGTATTTTGCATTCGGTGCGCTGACGGACCGCGTGCACTGTTCCCCAGGACGCGTAAACTTACAGACGGAGGGAGTTTTGCAATTTATGCTTGGTTTTATTTACATAGCTCAGAGCGCATACACGTTGGAGTACTACGTCAATGTCAACATGGGACCTTGAACGAAACGCGCGTCGTCGCGGTCACAAGGGGACCGATTTCACGGTCGGCTACCCCCAAAACGATTCCTGTCGAGGTGTAGGGTTTATGAGGGGTCCAATGACATTGAAGAGCGTTCTGACGGGTAAGGAATTAGGGTATAGTGCAATCTTAGCGAATGCAGGATGGTAATGGCGCCTTAGATTTGGGGAAGGGAATGCCTAGTGAAGGGGCAGTAAATGAACAGTTGAGGGATTGTCAAAGAGTCTCGAAACCGAAGTAAACTTGCCTCCGAGTCAACAGGAAGACGAGGGCCTTGGAGTGTAGTGAGTTTTGATGAATGACCGCAGGACATCAAGCTTCTCGTCCAATGTGCAGACAGAGTAGTACTGCGCAGGGAGTGGAGAGTAGCCGACGAGCTGCTAGTTCCATCCACGCCGTTGGGGATGGGGTCTTTGAGACCCAAGCGAGCTAATTGTGACGCGAACGGGGTTACAATGTGTGGCTGAGAAAAAGTAGAGTCTGGCGTGATTTCGGAAGGCGAGAGAGTGATGCGGATAATGTCTTGGAGAATTCCATGTCTAGTATGCAATGCGAATCGCTTCGTCCAGAACATTACAAGCATTGTTAGCCCTTGGCAAAGATGCTCGGTCTAGAACTTACGGAGAACTAGCAAAGGCTCCGACGGACCGCGAAAATTTGTACAGCCTTGGTCATGTAAACATCAAGTGACTGAAATTCAGAGATAGGCAGGACATACCAATTCGCGGGTTAGTGAAATTATTTCCGCGACTCGGAGTTGCCTCAAAGCTGCAAGAGGCTGAGGGGTTATGCATTATGGCTAACAGCTCGCCAGATCATCGGAGACAACGCCTGCAGACTTGAATTTGCGCTTACGTCAGCGATTTTCGGTCAAATCAAGATCATTGGCTGCCAACTCCACTAGGGGAATTGATCGATAAATTTAATGCGGCTCGTTGCGTTCCCATGCGGCCATGCCACGATGGATGCCTGAACAGTGAATGCGCAGGAAGCCATCTCTAGAAAGCATAGTCATGCTAGAGAAGAAACGGGAATGCAAGACGCGCAAAATCCATGATGCCTGACGATCACATTCGCAAAGCATTTTCATTCTTTGGACAACAAGACGGCAAGATCATGACGCTCGACCATTGCGCTCCTAGACGTATCATGCTAATTATTCCATGCGCTGGCGAAAGCAAGCGCATCAGCAGTTACCCATGGCTTTACCACTCAACTGAATATAACAACCGAACAGTTGAATTTACCATAATAACTTGAAGCAAGTAAGCACGTTACTAAGATAGAATTCAGAGGATGCAGCAACTTTCTGTTACAATTATGTGACTGCGCGAAATGCGGTGAGCACGAGCAAGTGATAACTAATAGTATTCCAGCCTCAGGCCTCATGCAATGAGTTGACTTGGACGTCAGAATCCAGATTCAGAAAAAAAACATCTTGCGCGTCATATGGCCCGATTAGTATATTCGACACTGCCACTTGGCACCAGATCGCCACTAGCTGGGTATCTTCGATGCGCAGTCTCAAGAGCATCTCTACGCCATTTCCTTGTCTCAGAACGACTGTTTCCTTGTCAGTACATCTGGGGCAGCGTATTTGTGGAATCTCGACACAAACTTCCCAGTCGGACCTCCCCTTTGTGATCAGCATAACAGGTCTAGTGTGCTATATGCAGCCTTTTCCGCCGATGGAAAAGTGCTAGTTACTGGCAGTGACAACAATGTCTACGCATGGGATATTCAGGCTATCCTGGCCTTGAAGACCTTCTCCTACCTATTCCTGATGTAAGTCTCACAGCTCTTCAGTCCCATCCACACTAATCTCCCACATGCAGGAGGCACCTGCAAAGTCGCCAATAAACGTACGTGACGTGTTTTTTATTGTTTTCAACCATTCTACATAAGGTCATCACTCTAGAGCAATGCTACGCCTACGCGGCGTTCACCCATTCCTACCTGCCGAATGCCCCCAAGGTTTTTTGATGATGCTCTAGGCCACATTCATATGAGTCATTTGCGTTTTTGGAATCGGTCCTTGATCTCACCTCTTGCAATCAATTCTCCACGTCCCGTAGCGTTCATCACCATTCCTCCCATCGCATTCTTGCACCCTCTATAGGCAGTCCGCGCGCGCTCCTCGCCCGCATTCCATCGCTTTTCCATCGCCCTCACTCCCACGCAGACGAAGCAACGGAACTCCAACAGGCACAAAAGCAAGGGATCTTCTCTCAACTAGGTCCTTGCAGTGTCAAAGTCGCTGCTGTACGGGATAAAAAGGTATTCATTCCTCGCGTGCGTTTTCATTCACCGTAGCTCAATAATTCCTCTGTGGCCTTTGTCTGTTACTCCGCGGCCAAAAGAAACGCAGCAGCAGAGCGGCCAATCGCATGGCCAGGGGGTCGTCATCGCAATCTCAGCCTGCTGCTACTTCAACGTCCGCAACGCAAACTACTCCAAATGGTAGCGCTCAGGCTACCACGCTAGGTGCGCCAACCATACGGTCCGCGACTGCTCATGTTGTTGGCTCGTCTCGTACTTTTGATTTGTTGCGCACCTCTCCCAAGCGCCGATAGTCATTAATACCGCAGCATACGAAACCTACTCCATCTTTTGTATCTCTATTTCTTTCGCCGCGTCTTGCACTACTCCGCCAATTGTATTTTTTCCGTCGTGAGACTCGTGCAACGCGCAGTATCTGCTAACAGAACGGTTCCGTAAGGAGAGCTCGCGATTTCCAAGCCGTGCGTCCTCTGCTTTAATCTATTCGCATTAGATAAGCTTCATACTACAGATAACTCGGCGGATGGGCCAATCGATTAAAACTTCCCTCGTTGCCCTGCGGATTTCTCACCAGCTACGTCAATATGAGAACTGATACTTGAGCAAGTGCGGCGGGAGATGGTGTGAATATCAAGGCAGCAGGGTGAGCGTTAGCCAAGGTACCTTGGAAGCATTGCCCTGGATTCGGTCATAACGACAATGTTAGACGCGAACATTTGGAGCGTCCCCTAAAGCAGACGCAAATACTAGACCAAACGGCTTCACAAAAACTTCTGACTGCAAAAGCGCATGCAAAAGGCGGAAAGTTTACCCTCTGTCACTGCGGCATTGCATCTAACGCCAATCACTCAAACATTCACAAGCCGCATTACTAGCGGCAATAGCTATTGCAAGGACTTGGGCGGATTTGGGCGAAGGTTCTGCGAGTACCGCGCATCAGGGAAACGTAATTTATGCTCCGTAGGGTTCAGCGCTTGAGGCCGAAGGTTCGGTTCGTCGCGGCTTCAAGTGGTCTCCGGCTGATGACTCTGAAGATGATCATCTCGCGGAATCACGCGTAAGTACTTACGTCCTTTAGCAAGCAATGCTGATTGTGATATACTATATATGTCTACTAGAGTAAAAAAAGGCGCTGATCCCAAAGCTATGCATATGCCCAGATTCTTTTTTCAATATAATCTTTTTCAAATGTATTTACTAAGGTTATGATTAGAATCAGGAACTGAATCAGAGACTTTTGCATATTTAGAATTTGAAATTATGGTTAAACTATGCTGCCAAGTATAAATTTTATACCTTTTCAGAAAGTTATGTATCTCATTAGTGCCAGTTACAGGAGTTAATTTAATATAAGGACTTTTCTCAGGATTGTGCAGATATGCAATGCTAATACTACTTGCAAGGATGCTTGCAAGTTTGAAAGAGTATGCAGTGTTACTTGAGCAGAGAGCATATGTGATCCTTGATTGCGAATGAGGCTTCTATTCCAATGATTGGAATTTTGATTGCCCTCAATGTCTGAGTTTGCATACTATGCCGCCATTCAGCTGTCAAGCTGTGGCAAAACTAAATATATTCAGCCATCAGATAGAATATATTCTATGTTGATTTTGCTTCTCAGGCTTCTATTTCAACAATTAAAATTTGGAAGCCTGTCAGTCTGCTCAAATACCTTGATCCGCCTTGATCTGCCTTGCAGAAGCCCATCAATCTGCTTAAATTTGTTGATTGCCCTCAATGTCTGAGTTTGCATACTATGCCGCCATTCAGCTGTCAAGCTGTGGCAAACTAAATATTCAGCCATCAGATAGAATATATTCTATGTTGATTTTGCTTCTCAGGCTTCTATTTCAACAATTAAAATTTGGAAGCCTGTCAGTCTGCTCAAATACCTTGATCCGCCTTGATCTGCCTTGCAGAAGCCCATCAATCTGCTTAAATTTGTTGATTGCCCTCAATGTCTGAGTTTGCATACTATGCCGCCATTCAGCTGTCAAGCTGTGGCAAACTAAATATTCAGCCATCAGATAGAATATATTCTATGTTGATTTTGCTTCTCAGGCTTCTATTTCAACAATTAAAATTTGGAAGCCTGTCAGTCTGCTCAAATACCTTGATCCGCCTTGATCTGCCTTGCAGAAGCCCATCAATCTGCTTAAATTTGTTGATTGCCCTCAATGTCTGAGTTTGTATACTACTTTGCTGCCATTCAGCTGTCAAGCTGTGGCAAACTAAATATTCAGCCATCAGATGGAATATATTCTATTTTGCTTCTCAGGCTTCTATTTCAACAATTGAAATTTGGAAGCCCGTCAAGAAGCCTATCAATCTGCCCAGTTTGCATACTACTACTCCGCCATCATTCAGCTGCCAAGCTGTAAATATAATTCAGATAGAATATATTATAAAAAAACCCAAGAAACCTCATTCGCCCTGATAATTAGTGAATGGCACTGGAGTCTATGGAAAATACCCAATGCAGGCATTAAATACTCCCCAAATATCCTTTTCAAGTACTCTGCATAGCAGGCTTGTATGTATCATTAATTGCAACAATACACCTAATAGAATAGACTAGAACGCTATATTCACTATTATACTTTGTATCTCATTTACAAGAAAAACAGTAAAAATATCTGCAAATGAGGCTCTCACCTCTGCCGTGACTGAGGTAATGCTGGGACCTTACCATAGGAGCCAAACAATCTCTGAGTAATGATAAGTCATGTATCGCTACTCTGGTCCTCGGAGCTTGGCAAAGTTCAGAGGGTATAAAAAGGCCACAAGTATGCTATAGTGAATGGCTCAACTCCATATCAAAAATCACAAACGCCTTTCTCACAAATAATGCCTACAATTACTATGCCTGGCGCTCTTCTGGCACTCAGCTCACCATCTCATGCTGAAGAGCCTTCTTTTGTGGATGCTCCAGATGAGCAGTTTGCTGTCAGCACTGGTAGGCCACAAGCTGGCAGTATCCCTTGGTGTTGGCCTGCCTGGCAACAACGTACTGGGTTTAGTTCACCTCCCTTTTCCAGCCAAGTTGCAGAGGACACTCCCAGCATTTGGAAATCACCTGAGGCTAACCAGGCTGTCTGGACCTTTATTTCCAATTTCTGGGCTGTGGAAGATTCTATGCAGGTGGATTATATCAAAAAAGAGCGTCCCGATAATGATACCAAAGGTCGGGAACTATGGCTTGATTTTTTCCGTTGCAAATGGGCAGACTGGAAAATAAACAGTGCTGTTGATGCAGTTCTTGTTGAACGTAGTCTTGACCCATATTCCATTATGAAGAGAATGAGATTAGCAAATGTGAGATTTCTCTACTTTTGTTTCTATAGTATTCCATACTCAACAACTACTTACTAGCTACCTGATCTAGCTACCTCGCAAGTTGCATTGGCCTATCCTGGCCTTGCAGAGGTGCTTTTTGGCATTGATGCTTTTACTGAGGATGGCATTGCTCTTAAGGAGCCAGTACGGCGCTTCCTTGATACTCTTATTACACACCATTGGGCAAGAAATAGGAAGTCTATTGGACGAGAAAGGGGAAGACTTGGAAAGTTGAAGAAAAAAATTGATGATACATGGCAAGGTGAGCTTTTATTATTTTCTTCTTTTTATATGCAAGTTCCTAATACCTAATTCGTATATCCAGAATTCTTGTCTCTTGCAGAGCAAAACAAATATCTGGATGCTGAATGCATTAGGACCTGGCTAAAGGATGTCGAGGGGCTTACCAAAATTCTTACCCGATATCGTGATCAAGAGTCTCTGCAGCAGCTTTCCGAACAGCAAGAAACTCTTAGCAACCTCCTTGATGGTTTAGGGATAGATATAAAGGGTGGAAGCAAATTACGTGCGTTGATATTTGACGTTTTTACTTACATCTTCTCACTTTCTTCTGAGGTAGGTCTACCTAAGCCTCTACGTCAAGCACTTTCATTCCTAGCAACTCAGCAAGATATAACACTACTTGCTGCCTCTATTCAAGATCAGTTGAAACTTTGCGATCCCAATACTGTCCCAGAGGATTCAATACCTGAATTTGACCCCGATGCTACTAATGATTGTGACTTTGGGTGGTCTGAAGGTGTAGAGGAATTTAAAAGTATGTCAGAGGATAACCTTTGGACTGTCCTTGGACTTCCAGAAAAGCGCATACCATTCTTTAACGCTTTGCAAGACCCATATGGCAATTGCGACCCATGGACTGAAGATGGCCAAAATTGGTTGAAAGATCCTGCAAATGGTGAGCCACTTGCTCTCCGCTGGCATCAGCTTGTAGGTCTGGCCAAGATGGTAAAGAACGCATTTGAGGGAAAGCCCATTCTGCTTATGGATGATGTTGGGCTAGGCAAGACTATCCAGGTCACTGCCTTAATTGCCTTACTGGCATTTTATCGAGAATTCTATACGATACACAACTGCTTTCCAGGGAGATTAGGTAGGCCTCTCTGGTCAAAGTCTAATAGGGCGCAGGACTGATCTCAATTCAATTAGCTGCCAAGCAGTGGAGAAACAATGATGACTCCCCCAATATTCCTGATCTTCCTATCATACTGGTCATCCCGCCAAATCTTATCTCCCAATTTACCTCAGAGTTGCACCGATTTCTCCAACGAGGAAGTTTTGACATCCTACCATATCTAGCTACTTGGAATAGTAGGCAATCCTGGTGGCAAGATATTTGGAGCAGGTCAATCCAGCCAGAAGGACGTCGAATCATCATCACTACGCCCAAGGTATGAAGATATTTTTATTTTCTCTCCATGCAGCTCAACATCACTTTTTGCTCCAGGCCTTAGAATCTGACTTTGACCGCATTTTGGAAGCAAATAACCTTTACCCATCCAAGAGTCCACGACAGAAAGCCAACTATGCTACAGATGCACCAACAACAGCTTATGGGCATCATTTCTTGTTATGCTCTGTGGATGAGGCCCATAACCAAAGAAACATCAGAAAGGGTTACTGGGCAATTTTTTCCCTTCGTGAGCGATCTCTGTCAATGGTTGCCATGACAGCAACACCAATCACCTCTGGACCACTGGTGAGTTAAGAGCATGCTATTAAATCATTTGTTCACTTAGTAATATGTTTTCTTTATTCACATAGGACGCATGGAATATTGGACGATACCTAGGCCTTGAGCTATTCAGCAGCATTTATGATGATCAAGCCCTAAAAATGCAACGTCAACTTCGCACTGCTGCTGCAAAAGATCGCAAGCGCTTCAAACAAGGCGACCGCATCAGCAAGATAATTATTGGAACAGTAAAAGGCAATGCTGACATTGAGGTTCCAAGTCTATACCGTAGTCAGATGCTGACCTGGATCAATGACATCCGCAAGAGATTTTCTGGCATTGTCATACGTCGCACTATTTGGTCTGTGGACAATCAGGGAGTCAGGATCTCAGGCTTGGCTCCATTCAAGGAGCATAATCTTCTGGTGGAGCTGTACGACCATGAGGTGGATAATCTTGAGCTCATTGCCAAGGAATTAGTTGAAGAAGGTGGTACCAGAGCAGCAAAGTTTGCTGCAGGCTCTGTGCGTTTTCTTTTATTGATTTATACATTTGCTAATGAAATTTCCCAAGGATTTCTATGTGCGTGTCCGCAGAGCCTTGTTGCACCCAAGCTGCAATACAGGATATCTGTGGACAAATCCAACTAATTTGGATGAGTGGAAGATGACAGCCTCACGCAAACTAGATGTTCTTGCACAAGTAATTCTATGGCATCAAAAGCATGACAACCGTCAGCCTCTATGCGTTGTGGACAATAAACTTGTTGCATCATCCTCAGATCCTGGCAGCATCACTGGCATTGTTGATCCTATCATTCCTGATAAAATTCTGGTCTACTGCGCATTCCCATCCAGCTATACCCAGGTGACAAAGGTGTCTAATTATTGTTATTTGAGCTTCTGGAAATTTAGTGATGGTAATTTTTGATCTGCAGGTTCTGGAGCTCCACGGCATTCTGACTCTACAGATCTATGGCAAATTATCACTTTCAGCAAGAACAAATATCATTACAAAATTCAAGAATAGTGGTCCTGATGGTCCTCGCGTCTTGATTATATCTAATATTGGGCTTACTGGTCTGAATTTGCCTTGCGCAAATATATTGATAATTGTAGTGAGCGTCTGCTTTAGTTTGTTGTTTTCTTCTGTAGCTTATAGATCCTGAACTACAGGACTCTCTTTGGTCAGCTACAGATGAAGGGCAACTAATTGGACGCATCTATCGGCCCCCCCAATCAAAGGCAGTGCATATTTACCGAATTGTTGCTGCAAACACTCAGGATGTCTTTCTGAACAACATCTCCTTCAGCAAGGCAGCCATTCTGGATGCATTTACTGGAGCCACCCCAAGCTTACGTATGTATTGGCTTGCCCTGCTGCAGTTCAAAAACTAATTTAACATTATGCAGGCTCTTTGTTCAGCAATGAGGAGGAAGCTGAGGAAACAAGCCAACTTTCAGAGATTGACGACATCCCTGCTAAGAAGGCAAAGTCAAAGGCAAAGACCCCAAAAGCTAGCTCTGCAAAGAAAGGTCGCAAAGCTCAAGGTAAGGTTGCTTCCAGCCTTATTGTCAACAATGAGCTTGAGGACTTGACGTTGATTGCTCCTGTGAGAATTCTATTTTGTATGCTATATTTGTCAAAGCTTACTTGATGCGCATTCAGGAGGGCCAGCAGCCTGAGAGGGCTATTGTTGGCACAAAGAGCATTATGGAGAATGCTCAGGTGGATGCTGACGGTGGATGCCAGAATGAGGCTATCACTGACTGCACTAGTGGAGCAGAAAAGGAATCTCCTCAAGCTGATATACAAGTTGACCAATTGCAAGGGCCCAAAGATGCGACAATAATGCTTCCCCTCAAGCGGCCAGCAGATTCTGGCAATGATGAACGAGGGACGAAAGCTCAAAAATCAAAATCGGGCGAGGACATCTCTGCACTTCTTGCGCAGATGGAGCAGAGAGGCATGGCCATCGACTTTGAACAGTTTTGCGCTTTCTTTAAATCTCTACCAAGTAAGCATTACTTCTACAGTCCATTGTAAATTGGCCTTAATTGCTTTCGCATTACAGATTCATCACAGAATGGAGGCCACGAGTTAGCATCTTTTGTTCCAGGGTTGGGGGCAGCCTCTGAGCTTTCAAAGCCAGCGCCATTGAACTCTAGCAAAAAGTAGGGGATGAGATCGTTCCTTAGCTACCTTTATGATTTATTCTCGTTTGCATGCATTTTGCAATACTCTTACATTGACCAATGGGAGGAGCTGTCAAATAGATGTTCTTGGACGCGCAATCAGATAAAAGGACAATTAATCAGTCGGCCTCTTGTCGATCCATCGAGCGAAATGGAATAAGTAATGACGTAGCGGAACTTCGAACCAAACTATAACGATAACGTACCCTTCCACCGCTCAGCAATATCTTGACCTCGGAAAACTTCGCGCAGGGCTTCTTGTATGTCTTCGACATATACGAAGCGGATTCCTATCTTGACGCTTTCTGGGACGTTCTCTTCGACGTTGGCCGACGAGCGATATCTCGCTAGTCATGGCTGATGAACAAAAAGGCGAGGCGCTGGAAATAATAAATCTAACGTACCGATGTCTGGATGGATCTTGGTCTCGGTAAAGAGTTGAGACTCGACGGAGTAGGTGCGCTAGTAGCCATAGCTGGGACTTGTTCAGGGAAGGCGGTTTCGCCAAGGTCGAGGATGGGTTTCAGCGCAGCCTTCCAATAGATCTGCAGCGCGTGTGAGCTATGCATATAATACGCTGGCGTAATCCCCGCCCTGTCAATACGTTTCTTCAGATTCCACGCGCCGATCTCTCGGTAGTAGTACTTGATGAGCGAGTCGATGGTGGAGGGCTCGAGGACAATGTCGTCGTTCTTCAAGCCTGACGCTTCCTTTGCCTGCGGTCCGAGATACTTTTCGGCAATAACTCATTTCTCCTCGGAGGCATATCTGCTGATTGTGACTTCAAGGACCTCCAAGTGATCGAGGAGAGGCTCTAGGATCGCGACAAGGTTATTAGCTAAAAGATGCGTAGGCGTAAGTGCGGGAAACGCGCGATATCCGGACAACCCACCTGCGCAGACGAACCGAACTCATGGCAAGTCCGCAGGGACGTCCGCGCTGAGAAGGTCAGAAGGATGAATATACGTCATGCAGAAGCGAAGTGATGGAAAACGCTCACTAGCGATCCAAGAATCAGTCGTTTTGGTCGCATGCGCCTCCGAAGCAGCGCGATCATTTTATTGAGTTCATTGTCAAGGACCTTCCAGACACCCTCCGGCATCTTCAACAAGGCGGCTTGCTCCTTGAATTTTCAATGAGCTCGTCCTCCCCGTCTTATTCCACACGGAGCGCCTTTTTGATCCCCTTGAGCTGCTCAATCCGACCGCCCCACTAGTACAGCGCGACTGACTTGGGCTTAAACTCTGTAGCGCAGTGCCCATTTTTCGACGTCGAGCAACGCCGCTCGAGTTGCATCCACATACTGACTACGCTGAGCGATTGATCTTATTTTTCTTGCGCTCAAATATTTGTCCATTGAAGCGCTTTGAGTTCCTTGAAAAAAGAGCAAGAGCCATAAACCATCAGCTTGCAATCAAAAGGCATAAAGCCTTCCAAAGCATGAGCTTGCGGGAGGCGTCCCAGAATAGGCTGGAGATAGCGCCGTAGGAAATGACAATCAGCGGCAGAGCGACTTCGGGATTTAAAAGTCGAGCTCAGTCGTCCTTTGCGTAAAATCGGGGGGATGGAGCGTGAAGCAAGCGCGGAGGGGAGCCTAACGGTACAAACGACGACTGCCTTCAGATTTTGCATTGCAATTTTACATCAGCAGCTCCAAGCGTCCGATTGTTGAAGTCAGGAATGAAGAGCCGCTTGCTAACAAAAAATTGGGCAAGCTTGATTGCGGCATCAAACTACCCTACGGGGTTGTTTTGCATCAGCGGCACCAGGCGTCTGATTGTTGAAGTCGGGAATGGAGCGCCGCTTGCTAATAAAAAATTGCGCAAGCTTGATTGGGGCATCAAACTACCCTAAGGCTATACTCGGAAAAAGATTTGGAAGTTATCCGCCGTGGGCGTTCAAGGCGAATCTACAGCCTCTGCAGAGAACGCAGCTCAATCTACGATCGCTTGAGCTCGGGTAGTCGACGCAATAGGGGCCTGGGAGCGAGTTGACGCAAATGAGCGAAGGGGAAGTAGATTTCGAAGTTATCCGCTCAGGACGCTCAAGGCCAATCTATGGCCTTTGCAGAAGCCAATCTATGGCCTCTGCAGAGAACGTCGCTCAATCTATGAGGGCCTCAGGGCCGGCGAGCGGATGAAGGCCATTCCGCCGCGATTCAGCGTTATTTATAAGCTGCGATGTATATTACCTAAGCCCCGAAAACAACTCCATTTTCACAAATTGTTCATCATCATCGATAGTATGCGCCGATCGCAGCAATTTCTTTTCGCTCGTCTATCAAATATGTTATTGATCTAATGAATCTCAAGCTACCGCGTAACAAGAGACGACGCGGGTAAGGGGTCAAGAATGGACCCTAAAGAGTTGCCAACGATCGAGCTTGCTGGCATCGGCGATGCGGAGACTTGCAGAGAACTCGGGTAAGCTTACACAACCTCTATAAGGTTCGACGTGAGATGAAGCGGTAGGCGGAGCTGCGGGGACTCATGCGGCTGCTGATGCAAGCGTCAGAAGGCCCGAGTTTATAATCTTCCAAGCGTTGAGGCGAGAGCCGATGGCCGCCATGATCAATAAGCAACCGCGGAGGATGCAACCGTCGGGCCCCGCGCTGAATAGAAACTGGAGAGAAATGCGGAAGGCTTACCGATGGCGCGAAGCTGCGATGTCCATTCCACTTTAGAGATCTTTGAGAAGATCTCTTGGCGTCAAAACTAGACGTCGAAAGTTAGAAAGAAAGTGAACCGAGTTCTGGAAACGCTCAACCTGATCTTGAGAACTCCTCCAAGGCCAACGTACGCAACACCTCCCGCGACAACTAGACAAGCCGAGCGGGATGCGCAGATTCGGTCTTAAGGCACGCAGCGATCATTCTAAAAGACGCCTTCATAGTCATAGCGAATATGAATAGGAAGAAGATCCGGTATCTGCATTCAGCAAGACGCAACAGCTGCGTCAAATGCAGGACTCACGAGAATCGAGATGCCTTTCTCTGAAGGTCGACGAGGAGGTTATAGAATAATTGCTAACGCAGCTTGGATAACGAATCTGAGCGGAATATCTACATTGTCGGCGCTCCCGGCCGGTAAACTTGTATATAGTCAGGAGAAGAAAAGTCAACGCTCTGACCTGTTTGGGATTGTAGTAGACCCCATCGTCAAGCACCAGCGATGCAAACCCGTCCTCGATTTCATCGATGTCACTAGCCACCCGGGCGACGGATAGCGACAGCGGAAGGAGCCTTCGCGCACGAGCATCTTGCAACGCTGTCATTGAAAGACCTAATGAAGGTTCAACAAGAGTAAGCGACTCGTCTCCGTTGCACCGAGGCCGCAATGAATCAGTAGATGCATGACTCCATCGTCGTGACTGTATGTCCGGTTGGCATGCTGCATCTTTTTCGAGGTTGCCGTGAATTTGTCGGAAAACGCGAATTCCTTCAAGGTTGCGGCGGCGCCCTTATCTTCGATGAGAAGGCTGCGTATGCCTCATACAAGCTTTACGGTTCAAACGTATCAGACATTTGCGTCGGGCAAAGTCGAACAAGTTTCTCCTTACTTTTCATCCTGGGGAGCTCGACCAAATTACGTTCTGCGATAGGTTTTCGGCGCTCAAGGTGAGCCTCGATGATGGGCTGGGTTTTTCTGGGTCTTCGTAGAGGTCGTGGCTCCATTGAGCGTCTGGGTCGCCTTGTGAAGAAAGTCGGAGTGGGGCGCGGCGGGCGTGATGAAAAGAAAAAGAATGCGGGCGCGAGAGAGGTTATTCTTTTGACGGGTAGGCTAAGGAAAGGCGTACGCTTGTATGGGGGGTGAGCGACCGCCTGATTTTGCGCGGACGCCTATGGAGAGGGCTCCGACTCCGTTGTCTATTGGGACGTTTAGGAGGGACGTCTCAGCAAATATCGAGTTGATGTGTGTAAATGAATTTATACTATATAGCGCCTTGAAGGATAGACTGAGAGGCGGGCTTAAGACTGGGGCCGAGACTCAGATCTAGAGTCGCGCCGTAAACCTCAAATTGTGCTTTAAGGACGGACTTTAAGGACGAGCTCACTTTAAGGACAGACTTTAAGGACGAGCTCATTTTAAGGACGGACTTTAAGGACGAGCTCATTTTAAGGACGGACTTTAAGGACAAGCGCGCTTTAAGGACGGACTTGGTAGGCATGCTCTTAGTAAGCGCGGCCATCTTCTAGTAGAAACGTGCTAGTACGCCACATATCCCTGTTTCCCCGTACGCTTCCATAATAGAAGGAAGGTGTCAAAGCTTTGCTTGATCCATCACTCCATCAATCACGTCCAACTTATAGATCATCCTGAATGGTTCATTGGCGAACGATCTTGAAGGTGCGAGCGTCAGCCTTTCAAGTTATCGGTGACTAACCGAGGAGCAGCGCAAGTTAAATGTTAATCGCAACCGTTGTTCGAGCCATCCGTCAAAGCGAGGACGGACCCATATTCCCCCCCCTCTTCACTAGGGCTTCTCGTGGGACAGTGCAGTGAGTCTTTTCACTACTCCAACTATTCCGACCATGATGCATTCCCTACCTTCGCGTTGGATTGTCGCAGGAAATACCCCATAGGTGCCTGCGGTCCATAACCCAAGTTGTACTACTCATATATACATACCTTTTTTCACAGCCGGGGGCTGCATCCACCGAAGCAGTGCGGAAGATGTACACGCAAAGCTTCCAGGTGGGTACTCCCTGACCGGCCTTGTAAACTCAGAGACGGACGCAGGAGCTGCTCTCACAGGGTGGGCTGTATCGCCCCATGTCAAAAAGTACGTTTGATTTATTTCTCTTGAAATCGATGTCTTACAAAGATCTATCGCTTAGTGCTATCAAAGCATCAACGTTGGCGCCAAACATCAAAGGGGGCGCCAGTCCTCTGCCTGCGTCGCTTGTCTCTCCCTCCGCAAGTCCACCAATTGAGAGTTTCAACAGACGTATTATTTCTATCTGGAGTGCGCTGCAGGTAATTAACTTGGGATTCGCTAGGCGAGCGGCCTATCACCCCGATAATGATATCCATCCCACGTGCGACTTGGTCAAGTCATCGTTCAGGTTACTCCCCGAACCTTTCTTTTCATCGCCGTCCTATCTCAACGTTATCGAGATAATGAGTAAAGCGCATTCCATCAACGGTCTTTTTCAACGCTCACGTTCTTGCGGAGCTCGAGAATCTTAAATCGCGGCTTGCGCGTATCCGGAGCGTTGCGCACGGGCTTCCTCAGGCAAACTTTGACCTTTTGAAGAGGATCGCCGAACATCTCGATAGGTGAGTTTTTGCGCTTGTTTCTTTTGTCAGCTGAACGATATTGATACTTATCCTCCAGTATAGGGAACGCAACGAAAAACGCTTGCAATCGTTTCAGCTCCAACTTCCTTCGCGCACCACAGAATGACTTCGCCCTCATGTTGTCGAACGCGGGACATACCCACAAACCCGTGAAAGCCCTGATCGCGGAGTGACGCCGCTCATCGTTCCTACAAGTACGTCGATACTTGCTGTTCTGAATCTGAATTTTGAACACATGGCAGACGGTAGACAGTCGGGCGCATAGGCCGCCCATATCGCAGTACTTGCCTTGTTCGAAGAAGCAGGCAAGGCCATAATATTTGCAAGTTTAGGGTTAGGGCTTATCCACATATAGAAATCCGTCCCAGGACGGACCCTAACACTAATTCCGTTGGCCTCGAATCTCCTGCACTAAGGAACGGCGACCTTCTTGCCCCGCTCCAGTGCACCAGCTGCAACTACAACTACATCGTCTGCTGCCCCACCAAGCCTCGGGCTGGCGCTCTACACTCTCAGCTCCCGCTTCCTACCACTTCCAACCAACCAACCAACCAACCATTTCAATTATATCATCCGAGCTCAAAGTTCAGCGCAGTGAACTATTTGGCTAGCTCGCAGAATTGCTCCCACGTCGCGTGTTGCCCGAGGACTATAGGAAGGCAGAACGAAAGACTCTAATATTCTCTCAGGTTCGTCCCTATGAGTCATGGCTTCAAATAAAGAGTTTCGAACCTTACCCCCGTATAGTTCACGCAGATACTCGAAATCCTTCAAGCGATTTCGAAGCTGAAGGCTTTTCAACTTCCAATCATGACTGGCTCCATTGCCGTAGATGTGCGCGCGCTTTGACCTTGTGGTTAACAACGTTTGCGATAGTAACTAATTACTCGCACGTACAAGATCGACCAAGGCGCGCGCCATGTACTAGAACGCACATGATGGCGGCGTTGCTGATCCATTCATATCAGCGTTGAGCTGCCCTGAAGTTCGTTAATATGCCAAAGACCAAAAACTTTCTTTTTCAGATCAACGCGTCCGTCATTGCCCGCGGTGAGCAAGATCCTGCTGATGATCGCATATTGATCTAATATGTATTACCTACGCAGTCGATCGCGGAAAGTCCACCCTCGCCCACGCCCTCATCCCAAAGGTTATTATTGCTGCAGTGACAGCTGGTGATATGCGGCTTGCAGACTCACAAGACGATGGAAAAGAGCATGGCATCACGATCAAATCGACAGCCATCTCCATATACTTCGAAATGGAAAAGGAAGATGTCGAAATTATTAAGCAGAAGACTGAAGGCAGGTCTTCAATTTAAATTTCGCGAAATCTTGCTAATGAAATATTACTTCAGGCAACGACTCGGAGTTCTTGATCGACTCGATCGACTCACCTGGTCATGACAAGTCACGGCCCGCTCTCCGCATCCAACTGACGGCGCTCTGGTTGTCGTCGCCGACTGTATCGAAAGTGTACAGACGGAGACGGCGCTTCATCAAGCGCGTATGGTGCATATCAAACCTGTCGTTATCATCAACAAGGTCGACCGCGCTTTACTTGGGCTCCAAATTTCAGAAGAGGACTTGTACCGGTCGTACCAGCGTACCAGCGACTGCCCTTTGTGACGTCCAGGTCTTCCCAAGCGAGGGTATAGTTACTTTCGGTTCAGGTCACCATGAATAGGCTTTCACCCTCTACCAGTTCGCTGGTCGCTTCGGTGCGCATAAAGACAAGCTTTTGGCTAGACTCTGGGGTGATAACTACTTCAACTCTGCCGCTCGCAAGTGGGGTACGAAGGCCTCCGATGCCAAGGTCAACACGTTCGTCCTCAATCCCATATTCATGATTTTCGATGGTTGGTCCCATTTATGAGAATCTCGATGTCAAACTGACGTTTGACCAGCAAGATCTCGAAGGCAATGCTCTCCTCAAGGTCGTCATGCGCAAGTTCTTGCCCGCTGGCGACTCCCTCCTGGAGACGACAATTATCAACCTTTCTTCCCCCGCCTCTGCTCAACGCAGCTGCGTTAAGACGCTCTACGAAGGTCTCAGCGATGATGAGTCTGCCATTGGTATCAGGGACTGTAATTCCAAGACCCTACCTGTCAAAGACGGCGCCCACTTCGGATAAGGGACGCCTGCGGTCTTGCGTTCTCCGGTACCGTTCGTTCTGGTCCCGAGATCCATATCCAGGGCCCCGACTACGAGCCTGGAAATAAGGCTGACTTATTCGTCAAGTCAGTCCAGTACACGGCGCTCATGATGGGTCATTACATGGAGTCTATTCAAGATCGCCCTACCGGTAACTTCTGCGGTCTCGTCAGTATTGACCAGTTCTTGCTCAAAAGCGGAACTATCATCACCTCTGTGACTGCACATGACGCGAGGGTCATGAAGTTTTCCGCGTCTACTGCCGTGGAGGTTGCTGTTGAGGTCAAGAACGTGGCTGATTGACCCAAGCTCAGCGTCGAAGGTCTCAAGCATCTATCGAAGTCCGACCCATGTATCCAGGCTTGCGCCAGGACAGAAGCGCCCTCTTAAGGCGACTGAATAGTGTCCTCGTTCCGCTTCTCCGTTTCTTCCGGTTCCTTCGGAGAAGTCGCAATCTCATGACCGCGCCCAGGCCGGAGTTCCTCTCAAGATCTCTGAATGTATCGTCGGTTTCGGCGGGACTGTCAAGGCTGAGTCCTCAATCGTGGGGCCCTTGTCCAAGTCGCAGAACAAACGCAATCATCTCCACCCGGTCCCCACGGCTATCGAGGCGCCTCCCAGGTCAAATATTAAAGATACCAACATCCGCGTCATGATCTTGTCTAGGGACGCTACCTCAATAATCCCAACTGCCCAGGATGCGACTCCAAGCGCGCAACTAATATTTCCTAATGCTGCGCAAGTGGAGTTAAATCCATATTGCGGGATGTAAGCTACGCGTTACAGCTCTCAGCATCAGAATGTCAGACTGCATTGATCGCTCACGATAGTAAGGGGGCAAAGAACTGCGGCGTCGTTTTGACCAGAAAGATTATGGTAGCGATACTCGTTGAAACATCCGATTCCCTTTGATCCGCAGAGCGCTACTCTTCCTGGAAAAGAGCCGACTAGCGGCCGCTTGACCGCGATCGCATCTGGAGACAATAATATTTTTTTAAATCCAGCAACCTGCTACTCGACATATTAGCGATATCCGATATCATCATTAATTACATCATGATATCATCTTCAGTATTCCGCTTCTGCCCGATCGCGGTACTGCCACGGCTATCATGCACAAGAAGATGGGAAACGACAAAGGAAAGGCGAAGGATCAGGCTGATGTCGTTGAAATTGATTGATCCGTTTAATGCATTTGGTCGCCACATTGACTGTTCCGCACATCATACACTTGGTCGCCCGCGGGTGAACCGTACTACCTGCGGGTTGACCCACGGGTGACCGTACCCGCGATGCTCTGACCCTTGTGGGTACGGGTAGGCCTCTGAAAGTTTCAGTACCCGCGTGTCGGGCGCGGGTATGACCCGCGTCGACCCACGTCATACCCTAGAAAGTGGCCTACGCAGCGCATTTTAAGATCTACGAAAAGGCCTTTAATGTGGGAGTATGGGAGGCAGCAGATCCAGGGCCATGGCTAGGACGCGCGATTGTTTGGAAGCTCAACGTTTTACCCCATAGGGATGGGCTGGATGGCGGCCCCATGGCAATACTTTGCTTGGGTGGCTTTTCAGGGGGCGAGGCATACTTCACCGATCTCAAGCTCAAACTCCCGTATGTTTTAAATCTAGCTTCAACTTTCCATTAATACTTAATAATGCTGTTATTAGGTACAGGTCGGGAGATGTGCTAATTTTTAGCGCAGGGGACCTCTACCACGCCGTCGGTCCTTGGAAGGCTGAAGGTGGAGTTACGGCTAGGGGCATCACGCCAGGGCGCATTGGAAACGTTTTTTTCTCTCCAGCTCATTCCCTCCAAGCGTTAAAGGATAAGAGTGCTGGTTGGATGAAAAGCACTGCCGGGGGAGCCTTTTCTGAGTCCTAGAGAATGTTCGAGGGTAAATTTGAGCCTAGGAAAAATTAAGGTTGTGAAATTTGATTATTCATTACGGCGCCATCAATATTATTATTGACAGCTACCTATCATAATGGCGCTCGGCAGCAGTCGGCAGCGCAAGCGATCCTTCCTTTGGATCGTATCAGAGAAACGGAGAGGCCCGAGGGAAAATACGCCCGCTCGTACCTTTCTGCCCGCAAGGCTCTACTTCTAGAGTCGGGGAATACTTTGCAATGTCCTATCAACGCTCGCAAAATTACTCGCCGGCCGCGAAGATATCTGCATGGACAAAATTGTTGTAGATCTCGTTGGACGTAGTGGCGTAAGAAACGCGTCTGTACTGTTTGGGGTCGCTTCGGGTGGAGGAACGCAGAGAGTGGCTAACATAGTCAGCAATGCCGTAGGATGACAGACCGGGAGGTGCAGAGGAGAATGTTGAACGCGCCCAGAAAAGGACAAAGAAGTGACGTCGCTCGTGAAACTCAAGGAATGCTGCGGCTGATGGGAGACTCAGTAAAAAAACATGGGAGGGGATGAGACGCACAGCAGTTGATATACCCGTCGTCCTTCATTCCCATACCTACATGAATCTTCTTTCGAAACTGGTTGTTCGGATGGTTGTTCGAGGGAACGCACAATTTGAATCAAAATCGACCTTTTACCATATCTAGTTCCTCCCTGCAGTATCATTTTTTTTTGGCAGATATACGGTGTGCCGAGAGTGATGACTCGGACATAAGAGTGCAGATCTCAGCAGGTGTGAAGAGCTTGGCACTTCCGAGGGGCAGACGCTGCCAAACTGCAAAATCAAACCCCAGGCGAGCGCCGTGCAAAGAAACTTCAGGGGATTCTGGCAAGATGGGGGTTAGACAGAGGTACACGTTTGAGGAGCGGAAGAAGGACGATATTCGAGACCAAAGACTAGGATAGAGCAGAAAGAAATCACGGCTGGCGTACCACCCGATGATGGCGTTTGCGTATTTGAACGTCTCAAGACTGCAGTATTTGGGATCTTCAGGACCGAGGATATCGTGGGTCTAATTCGGATGGCGTTCGTTTTGACAAATGAACGGTCGGGAAGAGAACTTGAAAGTATTAGAAAAGATGGGTAGCAATTTGTTTTGATGAACGATGCTTCAAGCGACCGTCGCGCACGTCGTACGCAGCACTGACCTGCGTGCGATTTCTTTGTTACGAATTAGGTAATTTAATTTATCTGTATCACGTGCATGCAGGTAGGGCTTGTCGCGACAATGTCGCCGATGGCCCGATGCCAATGCTCATGCACATTGCATGCATGCTCTATGGGATGCTTTCCTTCACAAATTTGCAAGTACCAAGAGCTGCGTTGAGCTATTAATGTGCTTTTTTATCGAACTCTTTCTTCCCCCGCCTCTCCCGCCTCCAATCAGACCCAGAAGCTTTCACGCCAACATGTATGTTTGTGGATGCTTTCCTTCACAAATTCGCAAGTACCGAGAGCTGCGTTAAGCTATCAATGTGCTTTTCTCATTGTTGCCTGCGATAAAAGGCCGCAGGGAGTGGAATTCTGGAGTTTTATTTGGTTTGCGGCGGTCAAAGATGAATGACCGTCTCTCAATTTCAATTTCTCATGTTGATATGATAGGCTTCGTCGCCTATGGCTATCTCGGTGGGCGCGTGCTATTTACTAGAGCGCTTGGACTGTCTTTGCTTTGTCAGTTAGCTCAGGATCGTCTCTTGGTGATTACTTTTGCGAGTTACTTTTGGCACGCGAGCATTGATGGGCCTGAAATTCAGGTAAGGAGGGTCCTTTTGTCCACATTGCGAGTTGCATAGGCAACGTCGTCAGTCGTTATCATAGCAAGTATGAAAACAATCACGATGAAGGTTAATTTTCAGCGTTCAAGTTTCTTTCCACGCTCATCTTTTTCTCCAGCCGAACATCGTGAGTGTTTATAATCTCTTCCCCGAATGCTGTACTGTACAGGCAGTAAAAACGCAAGGGAAAGGTGGAAATCGATATATCATCTTGCCCCTCACATCTTCGATGAACAACCCGTCCAACATCTCGCTTGACGCGGCTGACATCGCCCTGCCAGCCTACTACCAAGATGTCATAATCGGTCGAGCAGCATTCAATGTGCGTGAATGATTGACGTGGCTATAGGCTTGGCTGAACTTCTCGTTTAGCTGGTTACAGGAGAAGATACGATTCCAGGAGAGTTCTATTACGAGCCGGCGAACTTGAATGATATCGTAGCTGAAGTTGGCGTCGTAGACTTTATTCTAACCTGGTTATTGATTTCTGCGGTGCAGCCCTTCCCCACCAGCTTCCTGCAAACCGGCAATAGTCTTCCACTTACTATTCAAGGAGATTCTGCGAGTACCCCATTTGCATCACTCCAGCCGGCGCGTGAAGGCGTGACTTCGACGACTAGCGTCGCGGGTAAACGTAATCACGTCCGTCCACCCTTTATCGCTCATGGAAGTCGCAGGCTTGAACGACGCTCCGATTATCCCCACTTTATACCCTGAAACCACCCTAGTCGCTCGCGACCAACGAAATTAATCTCAGCTTCAATGTACGTGCAATTTCACGCGCGCTTTAGATATACAACTCATACTGCGCAAGGTTACAAACACTCTCGACCGTCGGAGAATTACTGGATCGCGGCCAAAAATCGCATCGTCATTATTGTCTATTGCAAATAACGCCTGACAGATGTCAACGAGTATCGCTACCATAATCTTTCTGGTCAAAACGACGCCGCAGTTCTTTGCCCCCTTACTATCGTGAGCGATCAATGCAGTCTGACATTCTGATGCTGAGAGCTGTAACGCGTAGCTTACATCCCGCAATATGGATTTAACTCCACTTGCGCAGCATTAGGAAATATTAGTTGCGCGCTTGGAGTCGCATCCTGGGCAGTTGGGATTATTGAGGTAGCGTCCCTAGACAAGATCATGACGCGGATGTTGGTATCTTTAATATTTGACCTGGGAGGCGCCTCGATAGCCGTGGGGACCGGGTGGAGATGATTGCGTTTGTTCTGCGACTTGGACAAGGGCCCCACGATTGAGGACTCAGCCTTGACAGTCCCGCCGAAACCGACGATACATTCAGAGATCTTGAGAGGAACTCCGGCCTGGGCGCGGTCATGAGATTGCGACTTCTCCGAAGGAACCGGAAGAAACGGAGAAGCGGAACGAGGACACTATTCAGTCGCCTTAAGAGGGCGCTTCTGTCCTGGCGCAAGCCTGGATACATGGGTCGGACTTCGATAGATGCTTGAGACCTTCGACGCTGAGCTTGGGTCAATCAGCCACGTTCTTGACCTCAACAGCAACCTCCACGGCAGTAGACGCGGAAAACTTCATGACCCTCGCGTCATGTGCAGTCACAGAGGTGATGATAGTTCCGCTTTTGAGCAAGAACTGGTCAATACTGACGAGACCGCAGAAGTTACCGGTAGGGCGATCTTGAATAGACTCCATGTAATGACCCATCATGAGCGCCGTGTACTGGACTGACTTGACGAATAAGTCAGCCTTATTTCCAGGCTCGTAGTCGGGGCCCTGGATATGGATCTCGGGACCAGAACGAACGGTACCGGAGAACGCAAGACCGCAGGCGTCCCTTATCCGAAGTGGGCGCCGTCTTTGACAGGTAGGGTCTTGGAATTACAGTCCCTGATACCAATGGCAGACTCATCATCGCTGAGACCTTCGTAGAGCGTCTTAACGCAGCTGCGTTGAGCAGAGGCGGGGGAAGAAAGGTTGATAATTGTCGTCTCCAGGAGGGAGTCGCCAGCGGGCAAGAACTTGCGCATGACGACCTTGAGGAGAGCATTGCCTTCGAGATCTTGCTGGTCAAACGTCAGTTTGACATCGAGATTCTCATAAATGGGACCAACCATCGAAAATCATGAATATGGGATTGAGGACGAACGTGTTGACCTTGGCATCGGAGGCCTTCGTACCCCACTTGCGAGCGGCAGAGTTGAAGTAGTTTATCACCCCAGAGTCTAGCCAAAAGCTTGTCTTTATGCGCACCGAAGCGACCAGCGAACTGGTAGAGGGTGAAAGCCTATTCATGGTGACCTGAACCGAAAGTAACTATACCCTCGCTTGGGAAGACCTGGACGTCACAAAGGGCAGTCGCTGGTACGCTGGTACGACCGGTACAAGTCCTCTTCTGAAATTTGGAGCCCAAGTAAAGCGCGGTCGACCTTGTTGATGATAACGACAGGTTTGATATGCACCATACGCGCTTGATGAAGCGCCGTCTCCGTCTGTACACTTTCGATACAGTCGGCGACGACAACCAGAGCGCCGTCAGTTGGATGCGGAGAGCGGGCCGTGACTTGTCATGACCAGGTGAGTCGATCGAGTCGATCAAGAACTCCGAGTCGTTGCCTGAAGTAATATTTCATTAGCAAGATTTCGCGAAATTTAAATTGAAGACCTGCCTTCAGTCTTCTGCTTAATAATTTCGACATCTTCCTTTTCCATTTCGAAGTATATGGAGATGGCTGTCGATTTGATCGTGATGCCATGCTCTTTTCCATCGTCTTGTGAGTCTGCAAGCCGCATATCACCAGCTGTCACTGCAGCAATAATAACCTTTGGGATGAGGGCGTGGGCGAGGGTGGACTTTCCGCGATCGACTGCGTAGGTAATACATATTAGATCAATATGCGATCATCAGCAGGATCTTGCTCACCGCGGGCAATGACGGACGCGTTGATCTGAAAAAGAAAGTTTTTGGTCTTTGGCATATTAACGAACTTCAGGGCAGCTCAACGCTGATATGAATGGATCAGCAACGCCGCCATCATGTGCGTTCTAGTACATGGCGCGCGCCTTGGTCGATCTTGTACGTGCGAGTAATTAGTTACTATCGCAAACGTTGTTAACCACAAGGTCAAAGCGCGCGCACATCTACGGCAATGGAGCCAGTCATGATTGGAAGTTGAAAAGCCTTCAGCTTCGAAATCGCTTGAAGGATTTCGAGTATCTGCGTGAACTATACGGGGGTAAGGTTCGAAACTCTTTATTTGAAGCCATGACTCATAGGGACGAACCTGAGAGAATATTAGAGTCTTTCGTTCTGCCTTCCTATAGTCCTCGGGCAACACGCGACGTGGGAGCAATTCTGCGAGCTAGCCAAATAGTTCACTGCGCTGAACTTTGAGCTCGGATGATATAATTGAAATGGTTGGTTGGTTGGTTGGTTGGAAGTGGTAGGAAGCGGGAGCTGAGAGTGTAGAGCGCCAGCCCGAGGCTTGGTGGGGCAGCAGACGATGTAGTTGTAGTTGCAGCTGGTGCACTGGAGCGGGGCAAGAAGGTCGCCGTTCCTTAGTGCAGGAGATTCGAGGCCAACGGAATTAGTGTTAGGGTCCGTCCTGGGACGGATTTCTATATGTGGATAAGCCCTAACCCTAAACTTGCAAATATTATGGCCTTGCCTGCTTCTTCGAACAAGGCAAGTACTGCGATATGGGCGGCCTATGCGCCCGACTGTCTACCGTCTGCCATGTGTTCAAAATTCAGATTCAGAACAGCAAGTATCGACGTACTTGTAGGAACGATGAGCGGCGTCACTCCGCGATCAGGGCTTTCACGGGTTTGTGGGTATGTCCCGCGTTCGACAACATGAGGGCGAAGTCATTCTGTGGTGCGCGAAGGAAGTTGGAGCTGAAACGATTGCAAGCGTTTTTCGTTGCGTTCCCTATACTGGAGGATAAGTATCAATATCGTTCAGCTGACAAAAGAAACAAGCGCAAAAACTCACCTATCGAGATGTTCGGCGATCCTCTTCAAAAGGTCAAAGTTTGCCTGAGGAAGCCCGTGCGCAACGCTCCGGATACGCGCAAGCCGCGATTTAAGATTCTCGAGCTCCGCAAGAACGTGAGCGTTGAAAAAGACCGTTGATGGAATGCGCTTTACTCATTATCTCGATAACGTTGAGATAGGACGGCGATGAAAAGAAAGGTTCGGGGAGTAACCTGAACGATGACTTGACCAAGTCGCACGTGGGATGGATATCATTATCGGGGGTGATAGGCCGCTCGCCTAGCGAATCCCAAGTTAATTACCTGCAGCGCACTCCAGATAGAAATAATACGTCTGTTGAAACTCTCAATTGGTGGACTTGCGGAGGGAGAGACAAGCGACGCAGGCAGAGGACTGGCGCCCCCTTTGATGTTTGGCGCCAACGTTGATGCTTTGATAGCACTAAGCGATAGATCTTTGTAAGACATCGATTTCAAGAGAAATAAATCAAACGTACTTTTTGACATGGGGCGATACAGCCCACCCTGTGAGAGCAGCTCCTGCGTCCGTCTCTGAGTTTACAAGGCCGGTCAGGGAGTACCCACCTGGAAGCTTTGCGTGTACATCTTCCGCACTGCTTCGGTGGATGCAGCCCCCGGCTGTGAAAAAAGGTATGTATATATGAGTAGTACAACTTGGGTTATGGACCGCAGGCACCTATGGGGTATTTCCTGCGACAATCCAACGCGAAGGTAGGGAATGCATCATGGTCGGAATAGTTGGAGTAGTGAAAAGACTCACTGCACTGTCCCACGAGAAGCCCTAGTGAAGAGGGGGGGGAATATGGGTCCGTCCTCGCTTTGACGGATGGCTCGAACAACGGTTGCGATTAACATTTAACTTGCGCTGCTCCTCGGTTAGTCACCGATAACTTGAAAGGCTGACGCTCGCACCTTCAAGATCGTTCGCCAATGAACCATTCAGGATGATCTATAAGTTGGACGTGATTGATGGAGTGATGGATCAAGCAAAGCTTTGACACCTTCCTTCTATTATGGAAGCGTACGGGGAAACAGGGATATGTGGCGTACTAGCACGTTCTACTAGAAGATGGCCGCGCTTACTAAGAGCATGCCTACCAAGTCCGTCCTTAAAGCGCGCTTGTCCTTAAAGTCCGTCCTTAAAATGAGCTCGTCCTTAAAGTCCGTCCTTAAAATGAGCTCGTCCTTAAAGTCTGTCCTTAAAGTGAGCTCGTCCTTAAAGTCCGTCCTTAAAGCACAATTTGAGGTTTACGGCGCGACTCTAGATCTGAGTCTCGGCCCCAGTCTTAAGCCCGCCTCTCAGTCTATCCTTCAAGGCGCTATATAGTATAAATTCATTTACACACATCAACTCGATATTTGCTGAGACGTCCCTCTGGATGGCGTTATGAGAATGTAAAACGAGATTCATCGATATTTTACCTCCTGAATATTGTTCTTCGCTTCGTCAAAATTCTCAGCATTCAACCATATGTCGGCATTCTGATCTCCATGCGTACGCTGTTCATGCATATTATCGACAACGAGGGTGCTGTGTTGGATGCCTGCAGCCACGAAGCTCTTGTGTAGCCTCTGAGAAATTTCGCTGGCGCTCATCTTCTGATCGTTCGCCATGCTGCGAACTTTAGCCTGATGCTTGACAACATAAATCTCGTTGCGGACTGCCTCTAAAGCGGAACCAGCGATGAGAGTGGGCAGCGCGCTGAGATCGCCGAGGTTGACCGCTTTCCCTCTATTAAAATATTTAACCTATGAATATATGATCGAAGCTGTGATGATTTTACCCGGTTTTCTTAACCAATCCTTGGTAGAAATCACACGCTCTCTGCGTAATCAATAACGCATCTGACGCGGCAGCACAAAGAAAATGATCTCACCTTGTAATACTGGCTCAGAGTAGGCTCGCACGCAATCACATACTGTATTGACATTAGACTCCAGCACGACTTGTGGAATGTTCGACATACCATCGCTGATTCATTACGACTGAAGACCAAAAGCGTGATGTACGAAGTGGACGCCCTTTAGGAAAGGCATCTCCATCCTCTCCAATTCCATGCGGGGGTGAATCGGTAATCAGCACCATAATATTTGTCGCTTCATCCTTCCAGTCAGCCTTGTAGGCAGCGGACAAAGCATCACTTTGAGATTCAGGTCCATTTCCACCACCCGTCGCTGTTAAGCCGCCTAAATTCTCCGCGACGCTTCCAACATCGGTCGTGAAAGGGTATTCCTGGACGATGAAGCTCGGATTTTGAGGAGGAGGATCGCGGAAGGCAATAAGGCCAAATCTGAGATCTCCCGGAGTGAAGTTTCCCCCAGATAGAAGTGTATTGCAAATCTGGGTAATCCCGCTGCGTGCAGCGTCGATATGTTAACTCCCTGTAGCGTCTTGGAGGAACATGATATCCCTGAGTCGAATTTACGATCAGCGCCATGCAGCTTTCGCGCAACGAAATGTCCTCACAGTGGCGTAGAAGGCTCAACATCTGGAACTAGCTCAACAACGAAGCATTGTTTGGGACCATCGTACTTTAGGAAATGATTATGTAGGAGTACAGAATGAGTAGAGAGGACGTACGACATGAGCATGGTCGTAGTACAAGTGGACCTATGAAGGGAAAGGGCATGAGAAAATGTCAGGAAAGTAGACTCGGACGCAAACGGCATCTGATCCCAGGTCGCAGGAATCGAAGTAGTTCGACTTGCCGCTTAGCTTTATCCTGTGACGCATGTCAAGTACAACTTTTAGCAACATCATGTTAGGACACGGACTTTGAGAAGGTTTGGCCATCACTGGTTCGTTCCAATATAGATCAGTTCAAGGAGTAACCATTCTGAGGATAAGGCTATCCATAACCCCAATAGTGTCTGCAGTCTTCTTGTAGGTTATACCACACATCACTGCTAGTCAACGCATGCGCGCGCTCCTGGAAAGCAACTGAAGTCATGTCGGATCCTACATCGGGGTCGGCCACTGCGAGCTTGGCCCGATATTCTCGAACGCCAAGAATCAGGCGCGGTCCTAGTACAAACATCCGCACAAGTTGGAAGATGTCAAGCAAACCAAAGTAAATCTGAGTTCCCAGGGCGATTGTATCCTGTAGAAATGATGAATCGTAGTCGCATACAGAAGTATTGGCAGATCAGCATACCGCTGGCATCGTCGAAAAAAAATAACCGAGGTCGAAGCATGAAACAACAACGCTAGCGCGTGCAGAATATCAACGGACCAAGGGACCCGCATTCACTGATGAGCTCACCTCGCAAAGTAAACCATGTGAGTTTCCATCAACACCGCGAAGTAGTCCCCAATAATTCCTCCCGCTGAATGTTGTCGCAGTTCACGGAAATGTTTTACAGCGATCCACACAGTGATGAGTATCCAAGTTATGGAATACAGGAATAAATCATCGGAGCCAACAGTGCACTAGGAGGTGCCAGAGATAATCAGCTCCTCTGGTATGATTGAGCATACCCCAAGAATTATTCTTCACTGATATCGCAACCACTACTCCGTCGAAAATGTCGACAGCAAGGAAGATGACAATGAGAAATATCAGCACTTTTCTAGATCGCTGATACGCAGCATGTAACTGAGCAATCAATATGACTTGCATGATGTTTCAGTCAACTCCATATCATGGAGATATTGCGCAGCTTACCACCCAATATTACACATAAGTACGACGACGCCGAACCAATTCTCTGCGAATTTCAGAATGAAGCCTGAAAACTCCAGTAATGTTAGCGATCAACCTCAGGCTCGCATACTCAAAACCAGCTGCGGCAGTTATTAAAATTGGACTGACAAGACGATCGAAAATCCCGCTCACCCCTACATGGAAGCGCTTTCATTAGACGGCCATAAACATTGGGGTGGAATGCTCACTGCATCTATCATTAAGATCGTTGGAACCCAAACTGCATGCCACCAGTCAGAAGAAATAAACACAGCGTGTACAAGGGAACGTACGTACTCAGCATATCGATGCTGATTGTGAGACATGAGGCAAACTGGTTAGCGCAGTGCCAATTGCTTAGCCTTTCAGACATACGCTGCATATGATATTCCAAGATAGCGCACCTAGGATATTTTCCGCGTCAGCAGCGGTCATAAGGGACCAATGTTGCCTCTGGCCCGAATCAATTTCATTTTCAAGCTGTTCTTCTAGTGCGGGAATCTGCTCACGCATTAAGTTAGGGAGATTCTTGCTCTGGTCATGACGTGAACGTACCCCTTGTCAGAACGTCAGGACTAAAAATACTATATGAGCATGAGCGTTTTTTGTTACTAGCTTGCTTACCCCAATCATACATCACCCCCGCGGAGCTGGCAGCTACGAAACCATAGTACGGCTTAGGTCAGGAACGTCCAACTGGTCATCCACGAACCTACAAAATAACAGGAAATGCAATACGAATAAATGGACGGCCACCAACTGGGATTATATGAGACTAGGGTCATAGTATTTCGAGAATGGATATGAGCGAGCTTGCAAACTTGGTGGATGTTTGACTATGGCGTTTGCGCCGGCAGATATACAACCATCTAGCGATTGTACGGCCCAAACTAGAAGGAACGGCTATCTTCCTTCGTCTATAAAGCTTAAAGGGCAGTCTAAGGGAGACTAAGCCAAAACGAGCATAAAGGGATGATATATTTGTTGCTGTTTTGATTACATAATGTAACGTGAAACACCAGGTACACCACCGGTCCGTTGCTCGTGATCAAATTGGGTCTTCGAAATATCCCCTGAATTCATGAAGCGATATAGATATCATGATCATCGTAGCAGTTGGCATTGGTCTGTCTGAAACTGAAACTCACGAGCGGCTGATGGCAAAGAAACATGGTTTCCCTGCAGACCGGATAGAAGGAACGTGGAAGACAACCAATCGTCCAATGCCAGCAATGTCAATAGAACGGTATAGTATATAGCACGTACTGTCTACATCGGGCTTTGCCCCAAGCAGACATTAAATAGGATTTAAAAAAAATAAAAAACAACCAATCGTTCCTTCCTGATCAATTCCTGATTATAGAGCAGACGCGTATAGTATATAGCATGTACTGTCTACATCGGGCTTTGCCCCAAGCAGACATTAAATAGGATTTTTTTTGAATGAAAAACAACTAATCGTTCCTTCCTGATTATAGAGCACTCAGCAGACGCGTCAAAGAGTTTGACGGGTCGCCACCCTAGTCAAACAAGGTTATGGATGTGCCCACCGTTGGCAGTCCAACTAGTATAATGATAGACGGCAGATTTTTACCCTCACGCAACCCCCACGTTAACTTACGTATGTCACGCGAATGCTTCGTTCTTCCGCCTCTCGAGTGATCTCTCGCATGTCAATCAAATATCACATTAGAATTGTTGATGATGAGACGCTGACTTTCTTCCTTGAATAGCCTGCGTGATGAAGTGCGCGCCAGATTGCGGACAATAATGTCATGTGCGTCTGTCGAGCATCGCCAATCTCATCACGGAGCTGACATATCACCGTCACATATATCCTGTTAGCTTGGAAGGGGGCGCTGTTATCGCCAACATTCTAGAACGTTCTTCCCTTACCTTGGCCATCCAGGAGGCTTGGCATTTCGATCACTGCGAGTCTCGTATCTCATTTCCGCATGCATCATGATCCTGACCCTGAGCCACAAGATGGGCGAAAGAATGAACACGCACAGAGCAAAAATCACAGCCATATGAGCGATGGCGCCGCCCCCACGGATCATGCAAGGAAAAGCGCCAATGTACAGTGTGAACGACCGGCACAGGGGGCCGGTGCTGGTACAGGAATTGGACTGAGGGAGGGAGGACAGAGGAAGATTTTAGGTAAACAGCTCACGGCGCAAATGCCAAACGCATAGAGGGGCTTGAAGTGCGCAGTGAACAGGTTGCAATTGGAAAATGATCAGAAGCTGGAGTCTGGGACTTGGTGGACACGCACCGCTACCGATTTCATATGCAACGTGCGCTGTAATATGATAGCGAGTACTAGTTCAAGAATAAATGGGCGCTTTGCAGAAGGCGTGAGACCGCACAGCGCGCCACAGCCACAAGCTGGTACTACAACTTGGACAATGACGCGGAAGACAGACTCGGAGATGCCAGATCAGACGCAGTGACTCAGGGCCTGAATTGTTCAAACTCCCGAAGTTGCACACGCATGGGGTTCGCTATATAAACAAGAAAACACTCTAGATCTTGCTCCCTCACTGGCATATATAAGGAGTTTACGCATTACCATCGTTCCTTCCTGTAAAATTGGATATCACGTAGACGATAGAACTCGGTTTGTTAAACATTTTGCAAGATACTATAATAGTACCGGCTTGTATACATACGTACGAGACTCTACATCATCTCTATCCTACCCTTTACGATTCCACATGGAAAGCATCACTCCAGACGCACGTACGCCTCTCCCACTGTGTACTACCAACGCCTCTTGCGGCCTTTTTGCCTCGAAATTTGCCGAAGGCACAACGGGTGTGGGACTAGTCCCACGTAGCGAACAATCATGCGTCCGAGTCGGGTAATACGAATGTTGGAGGTTCGTTGCTGCGTCCGTTGGCTGTACCCTCGGTTTTACCTTTCCTGCCTGTAGGCGCCCCTGATCCAGATGAGTTCCTGATACCGGCGTCATGATAGGGTTTCTGGTTACCCCGCCGTAACGCGGGTGGATGTGCGAGACGCGCGGTGCGTGCGAGCGCTGATGGCTATAGTGGTGTCGTCATGAGACATGAAACAAATTTGCAAAATGACGACTTACAAGCAAGATCTGACGCGCGAGATCTGGCAAACGCGAAGATGGCTGAGGCACGAAAAAAACAAGTCTGTCTGCCGAAAAACAGGGCAGGGTGGCGCAGAAGGGAATATAGGTTTGTTATTGAACTCTTTTTCGCCTTTTCCTGCACGTGTGTCGTCCAGAGTCGACTGCGAGACGGGGTAGGAAGGGCCGATGACTTCGGCGCGAGGTGGGCAGAGCGCAATGTTGGCGTATGGCGTATCTGGAGGGTTCCACCGTGGATTGTTTTATGCTTGAGACAGGAGCATCGTCGCAACTTTGTGCTTTAAGGGTTTGGTGGGCTGGGAGGGGACGAAAAGCGTGACGGTATGGTGGTATGTTTGGAGCGCTTGTGCTGTTTGGGGGATTGGAAGGTGAAGGTGGGTGTTTTTTGGAGATGGCGCTAGCTGGTGGGCACGAGGAGAGGTGCAACTCTGGCGTGGAAGCTAGGATAGACTCTTTGAGTAGTTGACCTGCGTCACGCAATCGGAAACGGTGTTGGAGTTTATGTGGTGTGGAATGAGTGAGAGTGGCTTTTCGAGCTTCACGTTGGCTTTGGTGATATACTTCGCAGGCGCGACGCGTCACATCTGGGAAGTGAGGGAGGAAATCTGGGGTCGTTGAATGGTCGAATGAGTCATCATAGTCGTCAAAATCGCCCAACAAAGGCTGCGGATCGAGAAAAGGTATCGCGTCGCCTTCGTGGCCCTCCTGCAGATAGCAACCTGTAATAACAACTGCGTTTAACAAACGGCGAATAGGACACTTCGTGAAAGATACCTTTGAATTCCAAGAGATCGTCGAGTCTCCTAGCGCTGCTGCTCGCATACCTCCCCAGGTCCTTCTATTCAGAAACACAATACGCGTCTAATTCTTCTGGGTTCACACCTAGGTCTCCTAACGAGCTCAACGCATCCCATACTGATATTCGTGAGCGTCCTGATTGCAAATGTTCGGCATAGTTGCCACAGACAGAAGACAGTGGGACAAGATAGCTGGCAAGAACAACAGATGCCTGTGGCGATGACCTCGACAAATCATGAGCGCATAGAATATTTAGACGTAAACGACCGCAGGGTTATCACTGGGTACACGTTCTTGATGTCCGGAGGTGCTGTCAGTTGGGTGTCGAAGAAGCAAACGTCCGTCGCGCTGTCGAGCACCGAGGCGGAATACATGGCGGCCGCTACTGCCACCAAGGAAGCGGTCTGGCTAAGGACTCTCCTCCGCAAACTCGATTTTTCAAAGGCTCCCTCCACAACCCTCCAAATTGACAACCAATCTGCGATTTTGTTAGCCAAAAATGCTATGTTTCACGAACGCAACAAACGTATCGCAATCCGGTATCACTTTATTCGAGAGAAGTTGGAGGAAGGCGAGATATGCGTTGAGTATGTCTCCACAAACCAACAGATTGCCGACGTTTTGACGAAGCTTGCGCGCGAGAAACGCCGACGATTTGTTGAAGGAATAGGAGGGGCGAGCGGCGGACAACAACTGTTGACTGGTTGAGTGGGCCCGCGCGTTGTAAGGTCATATAGATAAGCGATAGCATTAATCGGACTTCAACAAGCAACGCTTGCTTACATAATACGCTATGCGAAGGTTTTACCTCAATCTTCGACTTAAGCGAGACTGAGTATCTACATTCGTTATAGAATTCGTCATGCTCTTTTTCGTCGTCCCCTCGAACAAAACCCTTTAAGATGTCCCTGCCACCAGCGTCGCTGCCCCATCTTTGCCATTAAATCTTGGATTGATTGCAATGCGTGGAGAATTCGGGCTGCATCGTCCCTTGACAACAAGTACGCTTGATTTGTTCCTCTCTGGAGTGCAGTATCTTATGGAGGACGTTACTAACCAGGAACGGGGGCGACCTGAGCTTTCAATGGCAATTTCCACTTGCTCTTCAGCCCATCCGCACCCTCTTGCCCTTCTTTGCTATAATCTGCAGGAGCCAGAGCCTCCTCGTTGTAAATTTCCAAGGCTTTTATAGTCTTCTCTTGCATATTAAGCGTTGTAGTATCGACGCAAGGTAGAAATGCAGAGAGCTGGGCGATTGCGTCCAGGCTGCATATTTATTATTGAGTCATATTGATCGCCCGGATTAATATATATCGTGAAGTTTGACAGCATAGATTACCCTCAGCCGTCACGCCCGTTGCCCTCTGGCATTATCTTACACGTAACGCAATGACTCGGAGGTGATGTTCGAAAATTTGTGCTTGGTTACCCCAAGCGGTATATCTGCGGCAGACTACATTCCCACTAACTGGCGCATTAAACTCGCAACAAGCTCGCGGGTACCAAAATTTTCAGAGGCCCGCCCTTACCCGAACGTCTCCAAACTTGAAGACTGCCGCAGGGGAGAGCTCACGTTGCAAATGGTAAGTGCGTTGAATGCAAACTTTGCAAAGAGAAACAACAGGCCATCAAGGAGCCTATGATCCCGGCCGTGCGCACTGCGATAGAGCTTCCAATGCATTGCCTCCGGAGCATTGACGGTTGAGGGCAATCCCATCCAAACCACTGGATCCATTGCGGATGACGGACCGGCTTGGATGTCATTGAGGTAGCGTCAATTAACTCAACCGATTAACGATTATCAACAGCGCATGCGCATGCCCCCTGCGCTCGTATCTGCCCTCTGACAAAATTAAGCCATTATTTTCAGCCTAAATCACAACTTTAAGACCGGGGATGACAATATTTGCTTACATTATGCCGCGTTCCTTGTCAGGCTTCTACTGGCTAGCGTCCGCTTTCTCATGGAACTCCGAGTCCGAAGGAACGTCCATTTGTCCGTTCAAGTGATGTCATGTGCGCCACCGCTGGAGAAGTGCTGTAAACTGTGCGTCCGGGTCACATCTTTCCTCCATACTCTCAGAGTAGCGATGATAAAAGTTTTGGTTCCATCCACGGCGGGAGCCACAGAGTAACTCGAGTCTCCTCTCGTTGACATGAATGCGCGATGTACATCAAATATTGCAACTAAGAAAATGCTGCCCGCTCCCAGCAGGCTCATCACATCCTTCGCACTTCCAACACTGACAACCGCGAAAGGATTTGGTCAGTCGATTTGGAGAATATCTAGTCGCAGTCTAAAGTCAGATATGAGCTTCTCCCGAATTTAGCTCCTTGCCCATATGATGCAATTTCATTGCCGTCAATATCTTATTTTCCACTTGGAAGGCCTCCCTGCTTCGCTTTACATCATGCACGACATCAATAATTCCGTGGTGCCGCGATCAGTCTATCTTGTCGACTTCCAGGAAAAAACGACGGTTGCGCATGCAGAGAGCGACGGCGCCATTGAGCTCAGTCCGATGCCTTCGAATGACATTAACGATCCCCTGAACTGGAGTAGATGCTGGAAAATTCTGCAGATTGCCCCTACCTCCCAACTGCTCTCCTTCACCACAGGCCACTACTCATGGACGTTCACATATAGATCCATGAGAGAATGCGAGCGTCAACGACCGCCATCGCATTTCCGACTTGTATTTTTCAGTCTCGACTATCCACCGACCAATCATCTGCTACTGCTCCTACAACCTTCAGAGTCCGCCTACACCAACTATGACCGCTCATGCATTACCGCCAATTTTCGACGCTCATCTTGCCTCGGGTCAACCGGTATGCCCGGTTCATTTTTCTGATTGTAGTTCAGGTCTCACATCCATTTGCAGCACAACGATACTGGCGATGACTTGATTCACGATGAAGATCATACTCTTCATCCATCCAATTTGCAACTGTTAGCCGTAAGGCAGCTCATGGCTGAAGACCACGAAGTGATCAGGTATGTTATTGCTTGTGGATCAGCTTTGAGGACATCCCGTGGGCGTTGCCTGTCTCATGTTCTTGGATTATCGATATAAATAACACCTCGAATGCATACAGCTAGAAACTTATGCAATAGTATCGTGATCTGATGCAGTTCTCTTATATTCTCTACCATGCTGCTGCGCTAGCAAAAATGTGTTAAAAGGCTGGCGAGCAGCTAATCCCAACGCTCGACTACTCAGCACTCAGTTCTGAATCAACCGACTCATACCTCCTGTCTTACATTGTACATGCTCATACTGTTGCCAATGAGAAGGAATCTAGAGATTGACCTTCCACCAGTGGTTCGTCTGTAAACGCTGACCCGCAGGATCTGCACAAGACACTAGAAGCTCTGACAACGTCAACATTTGAAGACGTGGAGTTCAAGCGGTGAATTTTACAGGCGCGTGCGAAGTCCCATTGCCTATTACGAATGCATATTTAGACTTTGTGAAAAATTCTAGCTCTACCTCTGCACGATGTATGCGGTCGCATCAATTCACGCTGTGATTCCTTTCTTGCTGGTTTTCACTGAGGAGGACCTGCAACGTACGCGTTCAAGCTCACTAAGCGTCCGGCTGTGCGTCGATTTTGTTAGGTAGTCCGACTCCAAGACTTGATCCAAAGTTCCTCTGAGGCTTCGACTAGAATTGTCCGGGCTGAAGGTGAAGCCACAGCTCAAGAACATAAGTGCGCAGGCATCTATTAAACCTGAGAATCACTGTCACGATCTTGTCTAGGGACGCTACCTCAATAATCCCAACTGCCCAGGATATGACTCCAAGCGCGCAACTAATATTTCCTAATGCTGCGCAAGTGGAGTTAAATCCATATTGCGGGATGTAAGCTACGCGTTACAGCTCTCAGCATCAGAATGTCAGACTGCATTGATCGCTCACGATAGTAAGGGGGCAAAGAACTGCGGCGTCGTTTTGACCAGAAAGATTATGGTAGCGATACTCGTTGACATCTGTCAGGCGTTATTTGCAATAGACAATAATGACGATGCGATTTTTGGCCGCGATCCAGTAATTCTCCGACGGTCGAGAGTGTTTGTAACCTTGCGCAGTATGAGTTGTATATCTAAAGCGCGCGTGAAATTGCACGTACATTGAAGCTGAGATTAATTTCGTTGGTCGCGAGCGACTAGGGTGGTTTCAGGGTATAAAGTGGGGATAATCGGAGCGTCGTTCAAGCCTGCGACTTCCATGAGCGATAAAGGGTGGACGGACGTGATTACGTTTACCCGCGACGCTAGTCGTCGAAGTCACGCCTTCACGCGCCGGCTGGAGTGATGCAAATGGGGGTACTCGCAGAATCTCCTTGAATAGTAAGTGGAAGACTATTGCCGGTTTGCAGGAAGCTGGTGGGGAAGGGCTGCACCGCAGAAATCAATAACCAGGTTAGAATAAAGTCTACGACGCCAACTTCAGCTACGATATCATTCAAGTTCGCCGGCTCGTAATAGAACTCTCCTGGAATCGTATCTTCTCCTGTAACCAGCTAAACGAGAAGTTCAGCCAAGCCTATAGCCACGTCAATCATTCACGCACATTGAATGCTGCTCGACCGATTATGACATCTTGGTAGTAGGCTGGCAGGGCGATGTCAGCCGCGTCAAGCGAGATGTTGGACGGGTTGTTCATCGAAGATGTGAGGGGCAAGATGATATATCGATTTCCACCTTTCCCTTGCGTTTTTACTGCCTGTACAGTACAGCATTCGGGGAAGAGATTATAAACACTCACGATGTTCGGCTGGAGAAAAAGATGAGCGTGGAAAGAAACTTGAACGCTGAAAATTAACCTTCATCGTGATTGTTTTCATACTTGCTATGATAACGACTGACGACGTTGCCTATGCAACTCGCAATGTGGACAAAAGGACCCTCCTTACCTGAATTTCAGGCCCATCAATGCTCGCGTGCCAAAAGTAACTCGCAAAAGTAATCACCAAGAGACGATCCTGAGCTAACTGACAAAGCATAGCCAGTCCAAGCGCTCTAGCAAATAGCACGCGCCCACCGAGATAACCATAGGTGACGAAGCCTATCATATCAACAGAAGAAATTGAAATTGAGAGACGGCCATTCATCTTTGACCGCCGCAAACCAAATAAACTCCAGAATTCCACTCCCTGCGGCCTTTTATCGCAGGCATCAATGAGAAAAGCACATTGATAGCTTAACGCAGCTCTCGGTACTTGCGAATTTGCCAGTGCGAAGGAAAGCGTCCACAAAAATACATGTTGGCGTGAAAGCTTCTGGGTCTGATTGGAGGCGGGAGAGGCGGGGGAAGAAAGAGTTCGATGAAAAAGCAAATTAATAGCTCAACACAGCTCTTGGTACTTGCAAATTTGTGAAGGAAAGCATCCCATAGAGGCTATGAATCATGATAGAGCATGCATGCATGAGCATTGGCATCAGCGACGAGCCCTAAATTAAATTACCTAATTCGTAACAAAGAAATCGCACGCAGGTCAGTGCTGCGTACGACGCGCACGACGGTCACTTGAAGCGTTGTTCATCAAAACAAATTGCCACCCATCTTTTCTAATACTTTCAAGTTCTCTTCCCGACCGTTCATTTATCAAAACGAACGCCATCCGAATTAGACCCACGATATCCTTGGTCCTGAAGATTCCAAAGACTATGCAGTCTTGAGACGTTCAAATACGCAAACGCCATCATCGGGTGGTACGCCAGCCGTGTACGGGTTGGGGACCCTATAGTGAAGAAGGATGCATTCGAGAGGTTGACAACTTGAAGGCCCATCAGCAATGGTAAGTTCCATGATCTCATGACTGTCGATTTCTTTCTGCTCTATCCTAGTCTTGGTCTCGAATATCGTCCTTCTTCCGCTCCTCAAACGTGTACCTCTGTCTAACCCCCATCTTGCCAGAATCCCCTGAAGTTTCTTTGCACGGCGCTCGCCTGGGGTTTGATTTTGCAGTTTGGCAGCGTCTGCCCCTCGGAAGTGCCAAGCTCTTCACACCTGCTGAGATCTGCACCCTTATGTCCGAGTCATCACTCTCGGCACACCGTATATCTGCCAAAAAAAAATGATACTGCAGGGAGGAACTAGATATGGTAAAAGGTCGATTTTGATTCAAATCGTGCGTTCGCGCGAACAACCATCCGAACAACCAGTTTCGAAAGAAGATTCATGGAGGTTCGGGAATGAAGGACGACGGGTATATCAACTGCTGTGCGTCTCATCCCCTCCCATGTTTTTTTACTGAGTCCTCCCATCAGCCGCAGCATTCCTTGAGTTTCACGAGCGACGTCACTTCTTTGTCCTTTTCTGGGCGCGTTCAACATTCTCCTCTGCACCTCCCGGTCTGTCATCCTACGGCATTGCTGACTATGTTAGCCACTCTCTGCGTTCCTCCACCCGAAGCGACCCCAAACAGTACAGACGCGTTTCTTACGCCACTACGTCCAACGAGATCTACAACAATTTTGTCCATGCAGATATCTTCGCGGCCGGCGAGTAAGTTTGCGAGCGTTGATAGGACATTGCGAAGTATTCCCCGACTCTAGAAGTAGAGCCTCGAGCGCTTTGTCGGCTAGAAACACATCCATGTCTCGGTCAAAAGGTTTGTGTTTTTTTCCTTACGTCACACGCAACTTGTATGTTTTCATTCTTGAGCGCAATGTTAATACCCGTTCTATTTCCCCTCAAGCGGCCAGCAGATTCTGGCAATGATGAACGAGGGACGAAAGCTCAAAAATCAAAATCGGGCGAGGACATCTCTGCACTTCTTGCGCAGATGGAGCAGAGAGGCATGGCCATCGACTTTGAACAGTTTTGCGCTTTCTTTAAATCTCTACCAAGTAAGCATTACTTCTACAGTCCATTGTAAATTGGCCTTAATTGCTTTCGCATTACAGATTCATCACAGAATGGAGGCCACGAGTTAGCATCTTTTGTTCCAGGGTTGGGGGCAGCCTCTGAGCTTTCAAAGCCAGCGCCATTGAACTCTAGCAAAAAGTAGGGGATGAGATCGTTCCTTAGCTACCTTTATGATTTATTCTCGTTTGCATGCATTTTGCAATACTCTTACATTGACCAATGGGAGGAGCTGTCAAATAGATGTTCTTGGACGCGCAATCAGATAAAAGGACAATTAATCAGTCGGCCTCTTGTCGATCCATCGAGCGAAATGGAATAAGTAATGACGTAGCGGAACTTCGAACCAAACTATAACGATAACGTACCCTTCCACCGCTCAGCAATATCTTGACCTCGGAAAACTTCGCGCAGGGCTTCTTGTATGTCTTCGACATATACGAAGCGGATTCCTATCTTGACGCTTTCTGGGACGTTCTCTTCGACGTTGGCCGACGAGCGATATCTCGCTAGTCATGGCTGATGAACAAAAAGGCGAGGCGCTGGAAATAATAAATCTAACGTACCGATGTCTGGATGGATCTTGGTCTCGGTAAAGAGTTGAGACTCGACGGAGTAGGTGCGCTAGTAGCCATAGCTGGGACTTGTTCAGGGAAGGCGGTTTCGCCAAGGTCGAGGATGGGTTTCAGCGCAGCCTTCCAATAGATCTGCAGCGCGTGTGAGCTATGCATATAATACGCTGGCGTAATCCCCCGCCCTGTCAATACGTTTCTTCAGATTCCACGCGCCGATCTCTCGGTAGTAGTACTTGATGAGCGAGTCGATGGTGGAGGGCTCGAGGACAATGTCGTCGTTCTTCAAGCCTGACGCTTCCTTTGCCTGCGGTCCGAGATACTTTTCGGCAATAACTCATTTCTCCTCGGAGGCATATCTGCTGATTGTGACTTCAAGGACCTCCAAGTGATCGAGGAGAGGCTCTAGGATCGCGACAAGGTTATTAGCTAAAAGATGCGTAGGCGTAAGTGCGGGAAACGCGCGATATCCGGACAACCCACCTGCGCAGACGAACCGAACTCATGGCAAGTCCGCAGGGACGTCCGCGCTGAGAAGGTCAGAAGGATGAATATACGTCATGCAGAAGCGAAGTGATGGAAAACGCTCACTAGCGATCCAAGAATCAGTCGTTTTGGTCGCATGCGCCTCCGAAGCAGCGCGATCATTTTATTGAGTTCATTGTCAAGGACCTTCCAGACACCCTCCGGCATCTTCAACAAGGCGGCTTGCTCCTTGAATTTTCAATGAGCTCGTCCTCCCCGTCTTATTCCACACGGAGCGCCTTTTTGATCCCCTTGAGCTGCTCAATCCGACCGCCCCACTAGTACAGCGCGACTGACTTGGGCTTAAACTCTGTAGCGCAGTGCCCATTTTTCGACGTCGAGCAACGCCGCTCGAGTTGCATCCACATACTGACTACGCTGAGCGATTGATCTTATTTTTCTTGCGCTCAAATATTTGTCCATTGAAGCGCTTTGAGTTCCTTGAAAAAAGAGCAAGAGCCATAAACCATCAGCTTGCAATCAAAAGGCATAAAGCCTTCCAAAGCATGAGCTTGCGGGAGGCGTCCCAGAATAGGCTGGAGATAGCGCCGTAGGAAATGACAATCAGCGGCAGAGCGACTTCGGGATTTAAAAGTCGAGCTCAGTCGTCCTTTGCGTAAAATCGGGGGGATGGAGCGTGAAGCAAGCGCGGAGGGGAGCCTAACGGTACAAACGACGACTGCCTTCAGATTTTGCATTGCAATTTTACATCAGCAGCTCCAAGCGTCCGATTGTTGAAGTCAGGAATGAAGAGCCGCTTGCTAACAAAAAATTGGGCAAGCTTGATTGCGGCATCAAACTACCCTACGGGGTTGTTTTGCATCAGCGGCACCAGGCGTCTGATTGTTGAAGTCGGGAATGGAGCGCCGCTTGCTAATAAAAAATTGCGCAAGCTTGATTGGGGCATCAAACTACCCTAAGGCTATACTCGGAAAAAGATTTGGAAGTTATCCGCCGTGGGCGTTCAAGGCGAATCTACAGCCTCTGCAGAGAACGCAGCTCAATCTACGATCGCTTGAGCTCGGGTAGTCGACGCAATAGGGGCCTGGGAGCGAGTTGACGCAAATGAGCGAAGGGGAAGTAGATTTCGAAGTTATCCGCTCAGGACGCTCAAGGCCAATCTATGGCCTTTGCAGAAGCCAATCTATGGCCTCTGCAGAGAACGTCGCTCAATCTATGAGGGCCTCAGGGCCGGCGAGCGGATGAAGGCCATTCCGCCGCGATTCAGCGTTATTTATAAGCTGCGATGTATATTACCTAAGCCCCGAAAACAACTCCATTTTCACAAATTGTTCATCATCATCGATAGTATGCGCCGATCGCAGCAATTTCTTTTCGCTCGTCTATCAAATATGTTATTGATCTAATGAATCTCAAGCTACCGCGTAACAAGAGACGACGCGGTAAGGGGTCAAGAATGGACCCTAAAGAGTTGCCAACGATCGAGCTTGCTGGCATCGGCGATGCGGAGACTTGCAGAGAACTCGGGTAAGCTTACACAACCTCTATAAGGTTCGACGTGAGATGAAGCGGTAGGCGGAGCTGCGGGACTCATGCGGCTGCTGATGCAAGCGTCAGAAGGCCCGAGTTTATAATCTTCCAAGCGTTGAGGCGAGAGCCGATGGCCGCCATGATCAATAAGCAACCGCGGAGGATGCAACCGTCGGGCCCCGCGCTGAATAGAAACTGGAGAGAAATGCGGAAGGCTTACCGATGGCGCGAAGCTGCGATGTCCATTCCACTTTAGAGATCTTTGAGAAGATCTCTTGGCGTCAAAACTAGACGTCGAAAGTTAGAAAGAAAGTGAACCGAGTTCTGGAAACGCTCAACCTGATCTTGAGAACTCCTCCAAGGCCAACGTACGCAACACCTCCCGCGACAACTAGACAAGCCGAGCGGGATGCGCAGATTCGGTCTTAAGGCACGCAGCGATCATTCTAAAAGACGCCTTCATAGTCATAGCGAATATGAATAGGAAGAAGATCCGGTATCTGCATTCAGCAAGACGCAACAGCTGCGTCAAATGCAGGACTCACGAGAATCGAGATGCCTTTCTCTGAAGGTCGACGAGGAGGTATAGAATAATTGCTAACGCAGCTTGGATAACGAATCTGAGCGGAATATCTACATTGTCGGCGCTCCCGGCCGGTAAACTTGTATATAGTCAGGAGAAGAAAGTCAACGCTCTGACCTGTTTGGGATTGTAGTAGACCCATCGTCAAGCACCAGCGATGCAAACCCGTCCTCGATTTCATCGATGTCACTAGCCACCCGGGCGACGGATAGCGACAGCGGAAGGAGCCTTCGCGCACGAGCATCTTGCAACGCTGTCATTGAAAGACCTAATGAAGGTTCAACAAGAGTAAGCGACTCGTCTCCGTTGCACCGAGGCCGCAATGAATCAGTAGATGCATGACTCCATCGTCGTGACTGTATGTCCGGTTGGCATGCTGCATCTTTTTCGAGGTTGCCGTGAATTTGTCGGAAAACGCGAATTCCTTCAAGGTTGCGGCGGCGCCCTTATCTTCGATGAGAAGGCTGCGTATGCCTCATACAAGCTTTACGGTTCAAACGTATCAGACATTTGCGTCGGGCAAAGTCGAACAAGTTTCTCCTTACTTTTCATCCTGGGGAGCTCGACCAAATTACGTTCTGCGATAGGTTTTCGGCGCTCAAGGTGAGCCTCGATGATGGGCTGGGTTTTTCTGGGTCTTCGTAGAGGTCGTGGCTCCATTGAGCGTCTGGGTCGCCTTGTGAAGAAAGTCGGAGTGGGGCGCGGCGGGCGTGATGAAAAGAAAAAGAATGCGGGCGCGAGAGAGGTTATTCTTTTGACGGGTAGGCTAAGGAAAGGCGTACGCTTGTATGGGGGGTGAGCGACCGCCTGATTTGCGCGGACGCCTATGGAGAGGGCTCCGACTCCGTTGTCTATTGGGACGTTTAGGAGGGACGTCTCAGCAAATATCGAGTTGATGTGTGTAAATGAATTTATACTATATAGCGCCTTGAAGGATAGACTGAGAGGCGGGCTTAAGACTGGGGCCGAGACTCAGATCTAGAGTCGCGCCGTAAACCTCAAATTGTGCTTTAAGGACGGACTTTAAGGACGAGCTCACTTTAAGGACAGACTTTAAGGACGAGCTCATTTTAAGGACGGACTTTAAGGACGAGCTCATTTTAAGGACGGACTTTAAGGACAAGCGCGCTTTAAGGACGGACTTGGTAGGCATGCTCTTAGTAAGCGCGGCCATCTTCTAGTAGAACGTGCTAGTACGCCACATATCCCTGTTTCCCCGTACGCTTCCATAATAGAAGGAAGGTGTCAAAGCTTTGCTTGATCCATCACTCCATCAATCACGTCCAACTTATAGATCATCCTGAATGGTTCATTGGCGAACGATCTTGAAGGTGCGAGCGTCAGCCTTTCAAGTTATCGGTGACTAACCGAGGAGCAGCGCAAGTTAAATGTTAATCGCAACCGTTGTTCGAGCCATCCGTCAAAGCGAGGACGGACCCATATTCCCCCCCCTCTTCACTAGGGCTTCTCGTGGGACAGTGCAGTGAGTCTTTTCACTACTCCAACTATTCCGACCATGATGCATTCCCTACCTTCGCGTTGGATTGTCGCAGGAAATACCCCATAGGTGCCTGCGGTCCATAACCCAAGTTGTACTACTCATATATACATACCTTTTTACAACCATAAGGCGCGTGGAACGCCCTCCTCAGTGCTGCTGACCCAATTCTGAATATCCTTCAAAAGGTCCCGCCGAGTGTTAGGCAAACAACATTTAGACGTATTCAATCCGGCACCTGTTGCGCACTCCATGCCGAAGAGGTCCAGACTTTCAGCTATGCCAGGTGTCGTGGAATGTCAGATAAGACTCAAAGAGACCTCAAAACCAACTCTTACCCATATGGTGAACGATCACAACGGTGTCACGAGCCGCCCCGTCTCGGAATTGCTGTATAAGACTGTCGAGGACATTGTTGTAGTTCTGGATCGTAGCGTTCCTTTCGTCGAAAACGTGCTCGCCAAGTCTTATCCTCTGCCTGATCTAGAATCACCCGTCACCTTTATCATCCTACGACGGCAATAATTGAGAAGGAAGGCCTACCTTAGACGCGCAAGCGAAAATACTCACTGCCACCTTCCCGTAGGGGTGGACCTGCGTGTGAATGTCAGTGACGCACCGAAAAAGATATAGATGGCTGTGCATTTGCGATCTTGTTGGCAATGGAGTTGAATGTCTCCAAGGGTCCAAGAAACGCGGAGAATGCGTCGACCGCATCAGAAACAGATTGTAGGTCATTTGCCGCTCTGAAGAAGTACGCTGGACTATTCTTGGGACCTGGCTGATGCCCGCGAGATCTGTAGTAGCATTGGCGATTCTTCCGTTCACAAACTTCGTGTCGAGATGTTCAGCCTGAGTATAAATGTACACGTCTATAGACACCTTCGTGGGACTGTCAAAGCTCGTTTAACGTTTCGAGGAGACTCGAGCGCTCACCTAGTGGGATACGTTGATGCAGACGGGGCTTCAGACGTAAACGACCACAGGGCTATCACTGGGTACACGTTCTTGATGTCCGGAGACGCTGTCAGTTGGGTGTCGAAGAAGAAAACGTCCGTCGCGCTGTCGAGCACCGAGGCGGAATACATGGCGGCCGCTACTGCCACCAAGGAAGCGGTCTGGCTAAGGACTCTCCTCCACCAACTCGATTTTTCAAACGCTCCCTCCGTAACCCTCCAAATTGACAACTAATCTGCGATTTTGTGAGCTAAAAATGCTATGTTTATCCAGTATAGAGAAGTTGGAGGAAGCGGAGATATGCGTTGAGTATGTCTCCACAAACCAACAGATTGCCGATGTTTTGACGAAGCTGCTTGGGCGCGAGAAATGCGGACGATTTGTTGAAGGAATGGGAGTGGCGAGCAGCAGACAACAACCGTTGACTCGTGAGTAAAAACTGCTGGAGCATAGATATAACATGATAGGTGAGGGTACCTCTAAGTTTGTGGGATGAAAACTTTTGCTACATGTGTGAATGTCCAGCAATCCTAGTACAACAGCTTTGAATGTGCACGGCACGGCGAGTCCACAACTATAGCTAACACAACTATAGCTAACCTAAGTTATTGTTTGAACAAAGCCAAGATTCTATCGAAAATGGTCTTCTGGGACACAGCCAATTCATTAAGCCCTGTCTTCTGGGACTCAGTTGATTCATCAAGCCTATCACTCAGACGCTTCTCCATCCCCTGCATTTCTTTCTGCACGCCCTGGATTTCTGAGAAGAGTTTGGCATTGAGTTCGTCAGCTGTGTTCCCCAGCTTCAGCACTTTCAATCCATGGGAAGCTAGGTTTGACTCTAGAGCCCTTATTCTCCCCTCTAGATTGGACTCCATCGTGCTAAGCTTGGAATCCAGGCGGTTTAAACATTTCTACGATCTGGGGACCTTTGCCAATGTTAGTCAACAAATGACTTTGACGGAAAATAGTGCAAGAACCCACTTGGAGTCATCTGGATTGTGCCATTCCAGTCCAATGATTGCATCGAAGGAGATATTACAATTCTGGGTTGACCTGGGGGTGGACCAAATGTACCTGTGCTCCCCGTAGATTCAAAGGAGTCACGGTAACCAGAATCTGAGGTTATTATAAATTGCATAAGGATAGAAAGTAGTGAGAGGAAAATGAACACTAGCCTGAGTTAATGGAAATCACGGTTGTCATATAGAATAAACTTGTGTTAAGTGTGCAGAGTTTGGGGAGAAATGGGAGTGCCACCCAGTGATTATGCTTGCGCAACAAAGATGATGACAGTACTTATATAAGTCAATCGCACAGCATTACTAGGCTCCTGCTATATTGGTACATCTATATTAAATTATCAATATGCTGCGTAAATCAAGAGATTGATGGACATTGAATCTCACTGTTTTGGATTTCAGAGTTCCAAACTGGGAGCACCATGATATCCCCAACTGGTGTGGAGGACTCAGGGCTTCTTTACAGTGATGATCAGAGCCTCAAGGTGAGGGATTCAGCGTGAGCAATTGTCAAGGATTTGTAAGTGAGATCTAGATGCAATCTAGATGATTATCTGATTATCTGATATGGATGCTCAGTCACCTGATATCTTCCCCTGAACCAATTAACTGAGCAGGATGAAACTTTCTGATAGACGAATATTTATTAAATTTCTAGTCAAACTGAATAGATGTTCTACATTAGTTTTTATACAGAGGACACTCTGGCTCTGCCAAGTCATAGAATATTTGCTATGGCATAATTGATCAAAATACAACCGTCCGGCAATAGGATCCATCATCTACTTGTTCAAATGGAGATGTCACTGCATGGAGCAGCCAGCTGGCCCTCTGAACGCATCTGGCAGCTCTTCTTCTGCACCTAAAGCCCCTCTTGCCTCTTCCAAAATTGGAGTCCAACTGTCTGAGTTATCTGATGTCTCAGGGATGATGGAAGGATCTGACTCGAATGATGGAACAATAGCCCAAGCATGTCAGAATGCGCAAGAGCACCTCCATAGTGGGCTGTGGAAGCTAAGAGGTATTATTTAATGAAGCCACAAGCGCATTTTTATTTTATTTTTTATTCCTCATTTATTGTCCATTCAGGCAAGTCTTGCCCTATGTTAGATAGTATGTCAGAAAGAAATCAACGGTTTTGAGATCATGGAACCCACCATTGCTAACTTCCGTCTGAACCCTTTCAATTGTACTGAATAGATCTTAGAGCATCTCATCTCATACTATTCATTATTTTGTTCTATTTTGTTATGTTGATACCCGCAGGAAAACTGATACTTGCAGAAAGATCTTGGATGGATTAAGTCAGGATTAAATCATGACGAAAGGAGGTCTGCCAAATGTGCTCAGTCATTGATCAAAGGCTAGTACATACTATACAATTAGAGCTATTGGAACGCGTCAATCAGACTGGTACTTTTGTTCTAGAAAGGACCCTTGACACGTGGCACGGGGATCATGCAGTGGCGCAAGGCTGTTCCCTTGCGCACAGCATGGTAAAAACCTCGGGGACAAAGCATGCGGATTTTTTCAATTTCATTGGTGACCAGATTGAATTATCTATCCCCATTGACTTGGTTTCTCCGGCTGCCTTGATCTGCTTCCCAGTGGCTATTACTTTGAAGCTTCCCATGTCAGATTATGCTGTTAAATATGTTGAGAAGCTGATTCCACGATTTCAGATTGATGTATATGTTGCAGCCTTGTTGCAGCTTCTCAAACCCAAGGACAACAACTTGAATCTGGAAAATTCCATCAAACCAATTGCAACCGCTCGTTAGGGTCATGCCTGTCTTGCGGTATTGTACTGACAGCATCCTGACCTTGGTTGCTGTGTGGGCTATGGACTATCCCCATCGACTCCGTTTACAGGTTTCAGCGGCAGAGAATTTTTGAGGCCTCGTTGCCATCAACTTCTCATCCTTGAGGGGTGCATCTTTAGTACTGTCCACGTGCCCATTGATCGGTCTCTTGCCGTCAGGCAGATAACTGCCTTTAATCAGGATTGAACTTCGATCTGGTGTGCCAGGATCTGAAACCATTCTCGAGTAACTCTGCCAACATCCACGCCCTCCTCATCATAGAAGCACATGCTAAGTTTTTCACACTTGATCCATTCCTGTCTTGCGCTGAAGGTACTGGAAATTATCCTCGAATACTCTGGCTCAGCATATGTTCAGCTCATCCAGTGTCTGGATCCGAAGGGCGCTGACTCCTGAGTGCCCCATGCGAATGCAGATCAACGTGAGTGCAGATACGACAAAAAGACAACTCTGCCTGATTGTCAGGGCAAACCACAACCTTGCTGAGGATGCAGCGTCGCTGGCCTCGTCATATGCTGCAGGGCCATCATAGTATTCACTAAATGCCTGCCAAATGAAGACGCATAAAGTCAGGATATCGAGGGAAGCAAACCATAGATAACTCTTGTCGACTGAACGAAAATTATAGTGGCAGGCCAAACTCAGACTAAAACAAAAAGATTAGCTATGTGGGGCTCATGGGAAGATTAAATACACACGGGGTGACTCGTCTGCTTAAAGGATAAGCTGGAAGAATTGGAATTACGCAAGGTAGCCTCCCAGGCGCCAACTCAAAAGGAAATGCCTCATCTCGAACCGATGCTCAAGGGTCATAAGAAATCGGTGAACGAGATGAAACTCGACACCTGAATAGTGCAATCCTCAAGAGGCATGTGATAGCTGAGACCAGGCATCACAGTGAGTTGAATTGGACTGTTCTAATATGTTGAACGTCAAACGTCGAACGTTGAAGTTTAACATTTGCGCGTGTTTGTTTTGCTCACGTGACTTTCAGTTTCAATTCCCGACTTCAAAGTTCAAAGGCTTTAGGGAAAGCAGCAGATTGAGGCTTTGGAATGTACAGCGACGGAATTCAAGTACCTGCACTGCTGAATGCAACTCCATTTCAAGGGCAGATCTGGAGCCGCGAGACGGTCTTCAGGCTTTTTCGACCGCAATGAAAGGGCAACATCCACAGAGGATGAAGGGCGGGAGTTTTTGCTTCCACGAGGGGCGGGCGACGACGATGATCGCGATCAAAACAACTCCGAGTACGCTGCTCACGGTAGGTGCATTGTCGCTGCCCACTGCCGCGGAATCGCCGCAGGAGAAACTGACCGCGACCGCGGGCGCGCATCAGCAAAGTATGCGCTTGTCCTAGAGGTAGGTTGGCGTATGCACCTCCACTGTACAGGCCCTCTGGGTAAACATTCTACGACGGCGATGAGCCCAGAACGTGTACGAGGGATGGATGGGTAAAATAGGTGGTCGCGGGAAGATGGCCAAGAAATAAACAGTGAGAAACAGCGGGGGAAGGACCAAGACTCAACGATAAAATGGGGCTGGGCCCATCGTCGCTGACAATGATCAAGATATGTACAAGATGGGGTATCACTGGCAATAATTAAGCGCAAATTGCGTTAAAATCATGAAACGCACGAAAGGCGTTACGTTCTCCAAAACAGGAGCTGGCGCCATTTTGATTCATGTCAACGTGTACACGCGCTTACGCCGTGGCGTTCCTTGCGAGTCGCAACATGGACTTGGTCTTTCCTCAAGTATGCAATACTTGCGTGTGGGGGCAGGATTTGAAGCTGGAAATGGATCTCTGCTTATTGGTGTTTTGAAACACGCGCATCCGCTCAAGCGACTTTGGCAATTATAGCCTTGTATAAATCTGGCAGAATCTAAGTGAATACCTGAAGGAAGACTTAGAATCTTTACTCAGAATGTGCGCTATTGATAAAAGGATAAGACGTACTGCAAAAGGTGTATTGACAATTTGCGCTAAGCGTTAATGGGAGAACGCATGCGACGAGCTACATCAGGCAAAACCGAAATATCCAGGGAATGTCCTGGAAACTACGCCAAGTAGAAACACGAGCAGCTACTTCCATGCTCTCCAGAGGTAACGTTAATCGACCTTGCTGCGGATTGTGGTTGTGAACCGTGGGTCGGTGGAGGAGGAGGGAGATAGTCTTCATCGCAGATCAAATCATCATCATCATCCTTGGCGGGAGCGTCCGCTGCAGCGTTGCACTGCAAATGAACGCGTGAGACCTGCAATACAGTGAGAAAAATTACCCCTTTACCCTGCGCGAGAGAAACATCGACTGGCCTGATAAGTGGCGTATGTGGGATTTGAAGGTAGTGGGAATAGCAGTGGGCGACTGGGAGGCGGGCTGTAGTCGCGCGGATCAAGACTGAAAATGTAAGTTGAAGACGTAATTATGACAGCGAACGCTCGCATTCCCGTAGGGATCCGTATATGAACGCACCTGAGTTGTGGCCTGCACTGAAGGAAAGCAATTTGGAGGTAGGGGTGACGTAGCAGGAGACTGCAAGGGGAGCTAAAAGTCGACTGCGAAGGCAACAGGTAGAGGAGACATACGTGTAGTGGACTGCGAGGCTCATCGTTCCGAATAGGAGGGATTGCGTCCATGCGGAAGGACGAAGAAAGGAGTTTGCGAAGGTAATGAAGGAAAATGGGTTGCTGTGGGTCTATTGTAGGCAGAGGTTTTGGTGGGATGCGGATGGGAGATCTGATGGGGTTACGGCGCACGGTGCAACGTGGATTGCGAGGTGTATTGATCTACAAAAATGTCAGCGCACGAACAGACAAATATATGCGACTGAATGCATACATTGGGCTGCGCTTCATGCGTGGCATGCCATATACTAGCAAGGATGTCAGGTGAAGTGTCGCATATATAGTACCTGGACGTGATATCACACCAGGTCGTGCAAGCCAGTTGTTATGACTTAAGTGAGAGGATAACGGAGTGTGGTTCCTGAACGCGGAATGAAGCGAGGGACTGGTGGGACTCGAAAGCCCAGAGCTTGATGGTGTTGTCTTTGGATTGACTCTCCCATTCTGGCATCCAGTTTCGTCTTTTGAAGGTTTATGACCCTGCAACGTCATGGCCCGCGTCAGAATCGATTTGTGCTCCGACGGGCTGCGTCGAGCCAGAAGCCATAACGGATCCCTTCAATGGCGAGGTTAAGAAGTAGGGCGATTAGCGTAAGGTTGAGTTCAGAACCGCTGGTAAGGTCTCGTCGTGTGTATTGGCCTGACATTAATGGTGAAATATAACTCGTTCGAGCACTCCAGCCTTTTCCCTGCTAAAATCAATCATCAGCTCATCCGTGCAGAATACTCAGATATCGAGCTTACCTGGAGGCCAGGAAGAGCCTGAGAATAAGTAACAGCCGCCTGATTGATGCATCACTAAATAGAAGGTAGCTCGCTATGACCTGATGTTGATTACATACTAAGAACAAAGCAGACGTACGATAAGTTCGCAAGCGTAATCGTCAAACGGCTCCGATGTTTAGGGTTCTTCAGACTCAAGATCAGACTTGCGTTTAAATTGGAAATGTAATGCAGAGGCATTACCTCAGCGCTCGTCCATAAATTCTACGCTAACGTCTTGGGAGAAATGCAGCTGCTGCAGGCTGAGAACGCCCTCTATTGGCATATCCTCGACTGTATCGATGTCATGCATGCTCTCGGAGTAAGTATCGCCGAAATCAGGGGCACCATATATGATGTCGTCATCGCGCTTCCTCACCTCAAGGACGCTTTAAGGGGGCGGAAGAAGAGGGACACAGAAGATGCGTGCGGATACGAGGTGTGGAAGAGCGTACAGTGTACGCGAACCCATACCGAGTATAGTATCCTGAAAACGAGGGTGAGCAACGGGGAGGCAGACAGGAAATGAGGGAATGCAACGCACCTCACTTGGTGCTCCCCTTGCATACCTGACTTGTAACTTGGTTAAATTGGGAAAACGCGCGACGATAGCCAGTACGACTCCGTCAACCCAGTCCCCTATAGGGCTGGAAGAGGGCCAGTGATAGTGAAAGGGTAGGAATGTGTTTCCGTAAGATGAGAGTGGGGAGGGAGGGAGGAGTCTCGAAGAACAAGATGAAGGCCGGCAGAGCTCTGGGACGGTTTTTATGGATGGGGAACTTGACGCCGAGAGCAGTGAGCGGGGGGGATGGGGAGGAAATGTGAAAATGTGATATAACCAGACAGTATGGTCATATGTGAGGGTACTGTTAGTGGGGACTTTTGCGAGCATTTGTAGACGCGTATGGAGATTCCGAGAATTAGCGTCATCGTCATTAGATGGGAATACAGCGCGAATATCAAGCAGGGTGAGGGATTGAAGTTTCAGGGAAGTGTGGTCAACATCTATATAAAGTCATCAGCGAAGTAAACGGTGCAGCGCACGACTGCTAAATCACGCAACTGCGGAAGGTCGCACAGAACGGAATGTAAATCTCGCAAGAGGGGCATACCGCGGAAGACGAGCTGTCTGAGAGAGGTAAGGGGCGTAACTTGGGTGAGATTATCGTAGACAGTAGCGCCTGTAGGGAATCGTGGTTGGTTGGTAGGTATCCTTGATTTGGGAGAAGCGATATCTGTTTGTTTGCCGGTTGACAGGAATAGGATAAACGCAAAGAGTAACCATTAAACTGGCGATGCGAATTCAGGCTGGCTGCGGCGAGCAAGATTCAGGCTGAAAAGAAGTGTGGACTAAGGTCTTGAATAAAGTAGAGTCGGCGAAACGAGTATATGGTAACTGTAAGGCATCTGCCATAGCTTGAATTCAAAGAAGCGATGAGAGATTATATAAGTAATAATCGAGTTATCTTTTGCGCCGTCATAAATAAATAGGATCAAAGGCTTCAGATGCCAACCAAACGACGATGCTGACCTGAGTCCTGGAGAACTGACCTTTGAAGAAGGTGCAATTACTCGCTATTCCTTCAACTTGCTCGTCTGACATCATCCAGATACTGCGGGAGGCATGGGTCGTCACCTTGGTGTAACGTCTTGCGCTCTCCTTATCGTTGGAAAGATCATCGGCACTGGCGTATTCTCAACGCCGTTCTTCATCCTCTCCAGCGTGGGCTCAGTCAGCGCCTCCCTCATCATGCTCTGGGTCCTCGGTTTCTTGCTTGGCCTCTGTGGACTCTCGAGTTCGGCACCACGTTCCCTCGCAGTGGTGGAGAGAAGGTATACCTCGAGGCCCTCTACAGGAAGTATGTCGCCACTTAAGTATTCGCTACCAACGCTATATTACTTGGGATTCACTGCGAGCGGTTGTATTGTCAGTCGCGTCTTATTTTGGGTGGGTATTCGGCATTAAACCTTGACTACTTCGTCAAGGTTTTTGCTAATTGACGAACGTGAACGCGTCAGGAACAATTTCTTCTTTTGATCAAGGTAGGTCAATTTCGTCTCAGATGTTCTCTGCTTCATTCCGTATTTCAGGCCATCGCGCTCTTCTACGCAGATCAACACCAGGAAGCAACGCTGCTTATCAAAGAGCTGGTTACCGCTTGTCCGAATGTTGGTCCTCTCATGCGTCCTGTAGTGGAAGTAAGTATCACGCGGCTACGCTTGGTGACCTTGGTTATCGACGTTGATCTTTTCAACTCGCACATCAGACATATCTACGCGCGTTCAGCTCGGAATCACTTCCCAAAGGCATGGTAAGCACCGCATTTGCCGTTGGCACGCGTGACCGGTCAAAATGACCAATCATATCGTGGTGCCAGTGGCTGGAGCGCATGTCCTAGTATCATGTCTCGCTCTCGTTTCCTGCATACGCCCCACTGATTTCCGTTCCTCTTCAAATCCTCAATCAATCGTTTGGAATATCGTTCAGGAGATTATGGATGAGCCGAGGTGATATTCACATGCGTGCTCTCCAGAAATCGAGCACTTGCAGCCGTACAAAACACCATGCAAGAGCTCGTGGACAAAAATGCGGATCTTATCCTCAACCATGCCGATTAACACACTGGCCATGACGCAGATGACGCGCCGCTATGAGATCAAATTACGCCAGGTTTACCTGTCATGATCGACTGTCACGCAAGCGGATGAATCCGTGGTTCCATTGTCTCCTCAGGAGGCCCATTTGTTGAACTCGACGTATTCAGCCCCATTCATACCTTGTGATGAAGAGGAGAGTTCTTCTTAGGCGCGAAGATCCTGATGGAGCTCCTGGAGAGATTTTGTGGGAGGCAAGTACCAATGCCAAGGCTTCATAAGGCCGTAACAAGAGCTGACTGAGCTGAATGTTAACCTCCAGCATGTACCATCTTACTTTAAGGACGTTGGTCTCCATGTTCTCTTGAATTCAAACTTTGTTATCAGAGATCGAAATTACATCTCCACAACATGAGAAAATCAACAAAATCGCGCCTGCCATCTCTTTTGCTTTTATGTGGGCGGAGAAAGTGCAAGACTTGGGAGGCATACAACGCATCCTCCACAATATCAGGCTGTGCATTTGATGAGCGAATGCGTACTCTGAAATCAGGAAGAACGCTCACTGGACTGCCATCAAAGGCTGATTCGACATTATCATCCGCCTGAGCTTTTTTCAGATCACGCACATAACGATGAAGTTGACATGGAGTCTGCGGTCCGCCAATGTACATAGCATCCGAAGGTTTGTCCCCCGTAAGAATTCTGTTAGAAAAATACGCCACAAGTAAATTGCCATCTTCATCAGCATACTTAGCAGAGAACGCATTGGATTCCCAGTCCGCCATCTCATGCATGATCTAGGTAGCATAAGCTTCATTCCGCTTTGCTAGGCTTTGACCGCTCTGCAAGCTGCTTAATTTTCACAACTGGAATGCGAAACGTAGGTGCAGTTTTGGACCAGTAGTCGCAGATATGGGTGGCAGTCCTTCGCAGCATGAACGCCTTCCGCTGTTTTGCAGGGCCATAGCGCCTTTTTGGGAGGGGTATGGACGTTGCAGCCAGAAGTTGCGTCATGTCACGGCCAGTCAACATTGACGCGTGCTTTGCGACTTCACCTCGTTTACGGCGCGCCTCTGAAAATATTTGAGCAAACAAATTGGCAAAGAAATGGCACACGCGCTCTCTTGCTTGAAGCTGCGCGATCGTTGACTTTGACTTGCCTTCGACTACCAGCCATGAAAGTAAAGATGTAAATATGCAAGTTAATCAGAATGCCATCGGCAGCAGACGTATAGCATAGGCTTACTGGCAGCGGAGGGCGATCTAGGGCGATCTGCTTTCCCATCGGTTGGGAAGCTGCCAGTCAGATTTCAGATCATGATGTAATTAATGATGATGTCGGATATCGCTGATATATCGGGTAACGGTCTGCTGGATTTTAAAAAATATTGTCTCCAGATGCGATCGCGGTCAAGCGGTCCGCTCAGCTTCGATCGTCAGTTGGCTCTTTTCCAGGAAGAGTAGCGCTCTGCGAATCAAAGGGACTCGGACGTTGGTATCCTTAATATTTAAACCTGGAAGGCGCCTCGATAGCCGTGGAGACCGGGTGGAGATGATTGCGTTTGTTCTGCGACTTGGACAAGGCCACGATTGAGGACTCAGCCTTGACACGGTCATGAGATTGCGACTTCCCCGAAGGAACCGGAAGAAAGGGAGAAACAGAACGAGGGCTCTATACAGTCGCCTTAAGATGGCGCTTCTGTCCTGGCGCAAGCCTGGATACATGGGTCGGACTTCGATAGATGCTTGAGACCTTCGACGCTGAGCTTGGGTCAATCAGCCACGTTCTTGACCTCAACAGCAACCTCCACGGCAGTAGACTCGGAAAACTTCATGACCCTCGCGTCATGTGCAGTCACAGAGGTGATGATAGTTCCGCTTTTGAGCAAGAACTGGTCAATACTGACGAGACCGCAGAAGTTACCGGTAGGGCGATCTTGAATAGACTCCATGTAATGACCCATCATGAGCGCCGTGTACTGGACTGACTTGACGAATAAGTCAGCCTTATTTCCAGGCTCGTAGTCGGGGCCCTGGATATGGATCTCGGGACCAGAACGAACGGTACCGGAGAACGCAAGACCGCAGGCGTCCCTTATCCGAAGTGGGCGCCGTCTTTGACAGGTAGGGTCTTGGAATTACAGTCCCTGATACCAATGGCAGACTCATCATCGCTGAGACCTTCGTAGAGCGTCTTAACGGAGCTGCGTTGAGCAGAGGCGGGGGAAGAAAGGTTGATAATTGTCGTCTCCAGGAGGGAGTCGCCAGCGGGCAAGAACTTGCGCATGACGACCTTGAGGAGAGCATTGCCTTCGAGATCTTGCTGGTCAAACGTCAGTTTGACATCGAGATTCTCATAAATGGGACCAACCATCGAAAATCATGAATATGGGATTGAGGACGAACGTGTTGACCTTGGCATCGGAGGCCTTCGTACCCCACTTGCGAGCGGCAGAGTTGAAGTAGTTATCACCCCCAGAGTCTAGCCAAAAGCTTGTCTTTATGCGCACCGAAGCGACCAGCGAACTGGTAGAGGGTGAAAGCCTATTCATGGTGACCTGAACCGAAAGTAACTATACCCTCGCTTGGGAAGACCTGGACGTCACAAAGGGCAGTCGCTGGTACGCTGGTACGACCGGTACAAGTCCTCTTCTGAAATTTGGAGCCCAAGTAAAGCGCGGTCGACCTTGTTGATGATAACGACAGGTTTGATATGCACCATACGCGCTTGATGAAGCGCCGTCTCCGTCTGTACACTTTCGATACAGTCGGCGACGACAACCAGAGCGCCGTCAGTTGGATGCGGAGAGCGGGCCGTGACTTGTCATGACCAGGTGAGTCGATCGAGTCGATCAAGAACTCCGAGTCGTTGCCTGAAGTAATATTTCATTAGCAAGATTTCGCGAAATTTAAATTGAAGACCTGCCTTCAGTCTTCTGCTTAATAATTTCGACATCTTCCTTTTCCATTTCGAAGTATATGGAGATGGCTGTCGATTTGATCGTGATGCCATGCTCTTTTCCATCGTCTTGTGAGTCTGCAAGCCGCATATCACCAGCTGTCACTGCAGCAATAATAACCTTTGGGATGAGGGCGTGGGCGAGGGTGGACTTTCCGCGATCGACTGCGTAGGTAATACATATTAGATCAATATGCGATCATCAGCAGGATCTTGCTCACCGCGGGCAATGACGGACGCGTTGATCTGAAAAAGAAAGTTTTTGGTCTTTGGCATATTAACGAACTTCAGGGCAGCTCAACGCTGATATGAATGGATCAGCAACGCCGCCATCATGTGCGTTCTAGTACATGGCGCGCGCCTTGGTCGATCTTGTACGTGCGAGTAATTAGTTACTATCGCAAACGTTGTTAACCACAAGGTCAAAGCGCGCGCACATCTACGGCAATGGAGCCAGTCATGATTGGAAGTTGAAAAGCCTTCAGCTTCGAAATCGCTTGAAGGATTTCGAGTATCTGCGTGAACTATACGGGGGTAAGGTTCGAAACTCTTTATTTGAAGCCATGACTCATAGGGACGAACCTGAGAGAATATTAGAGTCTTTCGTTCTGCCTTCCTATAGTCCTCGGGCAACACGCGACGTGGGAGCAATTCTGCGAGCTAGCCAAATAGTTCACTGCGCTGAACTTTGAGCTCGGATGATATAATTGAAATGGTTGGTTGGTTGGTTGGTTGGAAGTGGTAGGAAGCGGGAGCTGAGAGTGTAGAGCGCCAGCCCGAGGCTTGGTGGGGCAGCAGACGATGTAGTTGTAGTTGCAGCTGGTGCACTGGAGCGGGGCAAGAAGGTCGCCGTTCCTTAGTGCAGGAGATTCGAGGCCAACAGAAGCGACAGACGAGAGGCAGGAAACAAACTGTCTACCAAAGGCAATGGTACTGCTGAGGTTTCGATGTGCTTCGAGATCCGCTCAGCAGGTTTACTGCGCCGCGCCTCGAACCAAAGTCGTCATAAGAATGCTACCTACCTTATAGCAAAGTACGTCGATACTTGTGGTTCTGAATTTTGAACGCATGGCAGACGGTAAACGGTCGGGCGCATAGGCTGCCCATATCGCAGTGCTTGCCTTGTTCGAAGAAGCGGGCAAGGCCATAATGCAAGTTTAGAGTTAGGAGACGGACCCTAAGCGCAATCTGGCCACATGCTTCTGGCCGTATACTTGTGGATTGTTACCGTCGGAGATGATATTAGGATAGGAGTAAAACGGTGCCAACGCAGACTGCCAGTGCTGGCGACAGGCGCTCGGCGTGAGTTTAAATTATGGCACAAGACGCGCGCGAGCAGACGGTGCTCAATCATTGCTGGATGATGGCGAAGGCAAAAAGATAAACGCCTCAAGCGCAAGTCTGAGCCAGGCCCAGAATGTTGGCATCAGCGAAGCTTCAGATCACGTGATACTTGCGCACAGACCATTACTTGAGCCGAGCGCGAATGTCGATATACGTCGATTCAACTTGTTTAAACCAATAAAACTCAATTCACTCTCGGAGTCAAAAAATTATGAGCAGTGCCGCTCGCGCATAATTAGCATAACATTGGAAAAGATGATCGTCGAAAGTTTTTTGCGAAATGCACAAGCGCGGCAACAAATAAGATAAGACTCCAAAAGCAAGGCCGACGCAGCAAGGAACAAACTGTACTGCATGCCTCAAGATTCTAGGTGCAATCATTCGCGGACGGTAACAGCTTCCTCAACTCAAGGTTGCCTCGCTTGGTCCATTCCTAAGCTCGCTTTCCAAGTCACCAGACTGTGACGCAAGCCGCGTCTGTATGAAATTAGCTGGGTCTCTGGCGAAACTTTAAAGGAATTGCCGCTTCGTGTGCGAGTTATGTGGTGACTGCGATAATAGCGCAATCTACATTTTTAGGCGTTAGGCGCTGAATCGCATCGAAAAGTGGCTTGACACCGCGTGTCGCCTCAGGGTATGCTTCCAGAAATACTTCCTCGTCCCGCTGCAGCCTGTCGAAGCCCGTGATGAGTTGCAAGCAACCAAGCGCCGCTCTTGAACCCACAATCGGCGTGAGAAGGCTACTCACCGGTAGAACTTGACAGCGATCACCTTGCGGATGTTCCGCTTCACGCCAGTGACCGTGCGCATGGGGCCAGTGTACCACTCTTCATGCCAATCCTTCAGTGCCTTGCCGCCGATGGATGCAGCAGGGTCTTCCCACTGCTTCACGGCAGTGCACCATGCCTCTGGTCCGTGTGGGAGGTCTGGGATGCCGACGCCAGGGATGGGAGCTGCCTTTTTTGCTGCAGCGCTGTGCCGGTGGCTGTTAGAGGGTGGCGCCTGTGGTGTAGGAATGGCGCGTTTGAAGAGCGTCTCACTAAAACCCTGCTACAGCCATCTGAAGACAGTCGTCGAGCATGCAGCAGTAGCTGTTCTACCTTGGAGTCATCGGCCACTCATACCAGCATACTACACAAGGCTGACATCGCCCATTTTGCCGAAGTTGGCTTCGATGTATTAGTCGGAACCCTAGCAAACCAGCTTGGATTTCAGGGAGACGTTGTCAAGACTGTTTACAGCCCACCTCACTAGCTATGAGCAGACAGTGCAGGTTATGGAATCGATGCAGGAAGCGGCTGAGGTACGTGCTGTCGCCGAGATTTTGAGCAAGAACGAGGAGAGCAGTGAGGAGGAGAGCATGAAGGAGGAGAGCGATTACGAGGAGAGTGTGAAGGAGGAGAGTGATTATGGGGAGAGCGTGAAGGAGGAGAGCGCGAAGGAGGAGAGCGTGAAGGAGGAGAGCGTGAAGGAGGAGTAGAAGGATGAAGAGAATGAGGATATCAAAGAGAAGTAGCAGTGTACTATGTTGGTAGGCTGAGCCGCACAGTCTTATCTGACTGAGGAACCAGACACGATGCGAGTACCATCCGGTGAGAACGAGACTGGGTAAACCTCTCCAGTGTGCCCCTCTAAGGCCTCACCCAATGCTGAACATGTGTAGCCTAATATAGCCCCGCGGAGGCTTGAAATCGAGGAACTCACTCTTCTGACTTGTTACGTCCGAGGGGGGTCTTCAATCTGAATTTTGAATTTCTGTGGGAGGCGCGAAACATGTAAGTGACGGTGAAAGGGGAACCAAGAAGCACGAAATAGAAAAGACAAGGACGTACGTTCAACCGCGTTGGATCGCCATTCAGCACACGCGTAAGATACAGTTGTTTCATTTCTTTCTCGAGTCGGCTTGGGAGGCCTGGGTACATGCTTGAGCCGCCTGAGAGGACGATGTGTTTGTACAGTTCCGCTCGGGTGTCAACTGCTTGCGGCTTGGATGGTTAGGAAGAGCATTTCTGGGTGGAGGAGTGAGATAAGTAGAGCGGGAGATATGAAAGGGTTTCACTCACCCTGCTATGCCAGGTTGATCAAGATCCACGTTCGCAAACACGGTGTCACTTGCAGAATCCAGCTCGATCGCCACAGAGTATAAATCAATGGCCCTGTTGTAGTCACTTGCAGCGAAGGCATCATCTCCGTTGGCAAGATATAGGGCGCCGTATTCCTGCTTAAATGGTGAGTGAAACGGGTGAGGATCAGAGCCTGCATGACAATATGAACTCCAGACTCGCCGTTGGACCAGAAGATTAGAATGCAAGGGCTGAAATGCCACGCAGCCAACCACATCTTCGGTCACAAAGATCAGCTTTAAAGGGATGAGCGCGGGTGTTTGGTATACTTGCCTCCGTGTGCGTTGAAAGTCATCTCTGGGGGCGATATTTTGCAGCGAAATCAGAGATGACTGTTCAGAATCCAATTCGTCCGAATCTCCGAGGTCAAACATCGAAACGCATCCATTCTATAATCAGATTGTTAGCAAGGAAGCCTGAATGGTGGATATCTGTGAAAGTCGAGTACCTGATCACCGACGCTCAACAATCTCCCAGCACAATCTATGTCGAATTCGATTTTTTGATTGGTTAATGTTTTGCGAGAATCAGGGGACATCCTGGAAACCTTCACGGGTACAGATGTATCACTGCGAAGGTCCCATGCATATATAGCATCGTGTCGACGAAATGCAGCATACAAAATATGCGGTTTTGTCGGGTGAAAACTTCAGCTGTAAGGAATGAGATAAGCTTTACTGCTAATTCTCCAGGCGACATGCCTGCGTGACTCCAGAATGAGAATATGCGCCTCCTATAGGCATGATGGCTGCTTGATTTGACTCCGAATACAGCACAATATTGTCCATTGCTTGTGAGGAAGGTGTTAGGCTGCCGATCGCGTAAGTAGTCATAAGAGGAGGAGAAAGCTATGCTGGATACGATGCCTGAAATTGGATCAACATTCATACGATCTAGGAAATGTAATATCTTGCCTTTGAACCCATCCTTGCTCTTCTCGGAAGGCGTGGTCGGGAGCCGATCGCCCTCCCCAGGTTGTGTATGTCGAATATCTTGATGGCATCTTCGAAACCGCAGTATAGCCTTGATGTGGGTAATGCCCGTGGTGATTATTATCAAAAATAATGGAGTTTTCATGACAGGCTTACTTATTGGCTGTGTAAGTTGAACGCGAGACTATGAGGAGCGATGAACCTTTCACGATGATCGATAATCTGGTACGAGGCCCTCAGCTAGTGGGGTTGATCGGCGGTTCTGACGAAAACGTATATGAACACTACCCTTCCATCCGAAGCATCCAGAAGCTTCACTGGACAGTCACGCACAGAAGCGACGAAACAGTAAGCTGGAGCATTGCTGGATGATGCCCCAGGATACCAAGCAAAATTGACGACCACTGAGGACTGCGAGAATGTACGCTTATGGTGAGCGAGAACTGTGTGCCTTCAGGACGCTTCGATAGGTGAAAAACCTAAATCATGCATAACACGACTGACCTTGAATGTCTTGACTTCAGGTTTCGGAGGTGTCGTTTACTGTTGAGTTTCAAGGCGCGAAGTTCGGGCGCGGGGAGGATGTTCCAGATGGGTTGGGTAATGGCGATGATGTGCTGCTTCGCCTGTGTATTGGACTGGGGGGTCAGTATTTCCAGAGTACCATGGAACTGAATTACATGGGTGGCGTCAAGGGCCGTTAGCGTTAAACAAACCGTGCGGCTAGATCTAGATAGTGCAGGACCAAAGAGCGCGCAACTGTGACAAACGGTCACGCCGCCTCGTTAGGGCAGCACCCCTGGTCTGAGTGTAAGGTGTATTGCTACATTTATGAAAGGGTAAAACCTACACCTTTAGGGAACATTCAGAGTAGCAGAGATAGTAGTGTGAATGTGAGGCTAGTTATGTGGTGACTGCGATAATAGCGCAATCTACATTTTTAGGCGTTAGAGAAGGGTCGGAGCGGAGGGATTGAACGTCTTACCTCATCATCCAACTTGGTGAGGCGTCTTCTGCTTGATTGTACCATCATCATGATGCGGTTCTTCAAATTGGTGTCCTCCATCTTGACCTCGATATCCCAAGCAGAAGGGCGCTCTGGGGGTACCTACGCCGGGTTGATAGTGACCTGCCAGGCTGCGGTAGTCTTCAAGTTTGGAGACGTTCGGGTACGGGCGGGCCTCTGAAATTTTTGGTACCCGGGGGCTGGTTGCGGGTTTAATGCGCCAGTTAGTGGGAATGTAGTCTGCCGCAGATATACCGCTTGGGGTAACCAAACATCACCTCATTGCGTTACGCGTAAGATAATGCCAGAGGGCAACGGCTGAGGGTAATCTGCTTTCTGAACAGTCGGGATGCTGTCAAACTTCATGATATATATTAATCCGGGCGATCAATATATGACTCAATAATAAATATGCAGCCTGGGCGCAATCGCCCAGCTCTCTGCATTTCTACCTTGCGTCGATACTACAACGCTTAATATGCAAGAGAAGACTATAAAAGCCTTGGAAATTTACAACGAGGAGGCTCTGGCTCCTGCAGATTATAGCAAAGAAGGGCAAGAGGGTGCGGATGGGCTGAAGAGCAAGTGGAAATTGCCATTGAAAGCTCAGGTCGCCCCCGTTCCTGGTTAGTAACGTCCTCCATAAGATACTGCACTCCAGAGAGGAACAAATCAAGCGTACTTGTTGTCAAGGGACGATGCAGCCCGAATTCTCCACGCATTGCAATCAATCCAAGATTTAATGGCAAAGATGGGGCAGCGACGCTGGTGGCAGGGACATCTTAAA